GATGAACCATCTCAAAAGTTATAAACAACAAAGGTTTATTTCCATTCTACCGTGACTGTTTTATTTATTTGTTTGTTTGTTTGTTGTTTAACTCAATACTCAGAAATGTTCCAGCTACATGACTGCGGTCTGTAAATAATTGAGTCTGGACCAGACAATCCAGTGATGGACATCATGAGCATCGAACTAGGCAAATGGGATAAGATGACATGCATAAACCGAGCGAGCCTGACCATCCAATCCAGTTAGTCGCCTCTTTCGGCAAGCAGGGTTGTTGAGGACCTGTTCTCAACTCATATCTTCACGAGTCCATAGAACAGACTCTTTTCTTTGCACATATTCATTGCAGTGATATGGATGGAAGTGTTTATCACTCACTAACCACTTCAAATTTAGTCAAATGAACTGATCAAATTCTAAAAGTCATCCTTCAATGTCATTTATTTCCGCAGCAGACCTACACCTGTGTATGATATGAACAAATGGATTCCTCCCCAGCAAAACTTTGATCATGTAGGTAATCTATATTCAACAGAAGACAGATAATCATTACAAGAACATGGTCGCCGTCAAGGAGATTAGGTAGCAGCAAGTTGATTTGTAAAATCGACCTCACTCTGTTTCTGTATGCTGTCATATCAATAAAGCCTATAATCCTCCTCCTGATTAATTTGTATGTGTAACATATAACAGGGACATAAAGAAATAATGTTTTCCAAATCTTTTCAATGTTTTTGATCATGGTTCTAACGTGTTTTGATGCAATTTGTGAACTAAGACATGTTTTATCATGTTTATTACAATATAGATCTTGATGATCAATCAGATTGTCTTGACTGGGCGCCAATGCAAGTGATATGAGAGGTGGAATCTGATTGGTCAATTGGAAGGACATAGAAGGGACATCACTCATAATAGCAGCGCTACGATCAGGTCCAGAAATTACCGCCTAGTTTGGCAAGGTTGGAAACGGGACTTTTACAGTCAGTTTACATGGTTTACTCCCTTGCCTCGCGGAGATGTTTCTTACTGCCTGCAGGCATAGTGTATACAGTGAATAATGCATGGAAGTGCAGCAACGCGCTTGTAGTAACTTAGACATGTGTTGCTTTCATATGACTCACTTGGGACAGCACTCAAACATATGCTAATCAAGAAGTTACTTGAAACAGTATAGACATGATAGAAACAGAATTATTTTTAAACAGTCAAATCATTGGTTTACAAAACCCAACAGACAGGACACAACATGCCTGAGAGAGTAAAAATATATTTTATACCAAGGGAAAACATTCAGTCCCAGGGGGATGAATGATAACATGGCAGTAAATATTCATTGGCTTTAAACATTTATCTGGAGCCCTAAAAAATATGTATTACTCCCAGTGTCGTTTGTACTAGGGTGTGTTTTGGATGTGTAATTGTTGTGTTTGTTGTGAGAGGACAATGTTTTTTATATTTTTTAAATTATTTTTTTATATATAGATAACTGACATTTTATTTGTGAGTCGCTGTTCCAGATAAAACCTGACACCCAGGATAGTGTCTGGCCGAGGTAGGAAAAGATATACAGACAATTTTAGAAAACACAAGCAAGGGTATTTGAGTGAGTGAGTGAGTTGGGTTGGGTTTTAACAGTATTCCAGTTATATCACGGCATGTCAGCTTAATGTGGGAGCATAGCTCGAAGTGATGCAGGTGTGGAACGGTAATTATGACACAAGGTTGAGTGACGTCAATTCATGTTTATTTCCATCTCAACGTAGACAATAAGGAAAAACCTACAACATACAAATATCACAGGCTCATTAGGTTACAATCACTGAGCAACAGAATGAAAATATATTTCTATGTACTGTTACAACAGCATACTATACACCTACACTTGATGTTTGACATTGTAGAAAAGCACAAGTTCATTGATTGTATTTGAACGTTAGGATGGACGGAATTGTAGATATAAATTGACAATTACTATTTTAAATGAGACCAAAGGAATAATGTACACATAAGTTTTGTGGAAATATTGCAATTAATGAAAATGACAATGAAACTCGGCTATGAAACTACTTTGTTACAGTTGGTCTTACAATACATATGACTGCAGAGAAAAGGTATTTCTAGTTTACAGCATAATGAAGAAAAGCACCAACACAAGCTCGACAAAGTCAGTTTGCAACAATGAAATTACAACATCGTAGATCGATATGCATAAACATCATTCATGACATATCAATGAACTCACCCCCAGGTGACCCATTCGATAGTTGGGACTATCGGTCCGAAGTCACATCAGTTACCACTGAAGTTGATTTGCCTAACAATAATAATGACATAAATACAGTACTAGAAAACGATATTCAGTTTGGCACAAATGGTACAATGGCACATCAATAACGATGACTAAATTCGTTATAATAAAACAATCCTGAGAATTAAAACGTAAATATTATGCATCGCCAGCCATGGCTAAACCTGAGTATGTTTACATTTCCTATCATGGCCGTCGCAACACAATGCGTTGGCAAAAGGACGTAACTCATGTGGGCTAACACGCACTCGAGTGAAACAAAAGGACTGCGCTTTTGGCGCGAAATACCGTTCACTGACAGCGATGCGGAAATCACATATCATGCTCTATATACTTGGAATGTGCATAAAAGACCAAATAAAAGGAATAAGTATACATGGTTCTACTTAAGAATGAAATTATAAAGCGGTGCCAAGTCATGATTTGCCATACTTCATATAGATATTGCAAAGTTGCCACTACGGACCAATGTACTTTGGTCGGCCATTGAACACACGCACTACTCTATTTCTATCTCTATAATTCTAAGAACATGTGAAAAGACTAATAAATCAAAACAATGTTTCTCAAAGTCAAAATACTTCAATATATATCAGCTCAGGGGGTGTACTTACGGTTGGTTATCGAGAAGAAAAGTAAATGCACGAGAGCGATTGTCGTCTGCTACCTGCTTCGCTAGAAGCTTGGTGCACGTGCCGTATCTCGTGACGTAGGTCGTAAAGATAGTTTACAATAAGACATTATTTTTTATAGAAAGAGGACTTGACTTAACATGGAATTATAATTATGAGAAAGTTAAGTGAAAATTACGAAATATAGTAAGGAAATGTATAATCTGAAAGTTGCAAACTTCCGGAATTCGCCGAAGATTAACAAAGTTTACGTAGCTAATTTGGTCACTTCAAACTCTCTTCACACAGGTCTCAGACGTTTACCACTTCGGTGAAACTTGCGAGCACGTGTATGGTGCTGAAAAACCTAGAAACATAATCGGGGTGATCCGGGATTCGATCCCACAATCATAAGTTTCTGGCGTGCCCAAGGGACGTAACCCTGAACAATCGCGGCTTAGACATATGGGTCACGCATGCCCCCGTAAGGGTATTAAAAGAGTTCAAGAAGCTATTGTTATGCATGTTGATACTATTAGGTAGGTTCATATTAGAGGTATGGACAGAGCTACAGATAAGCAGCATATTTGTGTAAAATCCCCCCCCCCCCCCCCCAAATATTCAAAACCCAATTACTTTCAATTAACTTGCGTACAGAAACGCATGCCTTTAATGAAAAACTCAAATGTATAAAACCAGCAATGAAGCTTTTTCAGCATGCGTACAAAGGTGCTAATTTCAGAAACACAATAACGAACTAATTTACTTTCTGGGCCAAGCCTATATATTTAAAACAGTTATATACATCTAAAACATTATTTCATTTTTTATAAATCTTAAAATGTTCCCTAATTTTGGGGAAAACCCAATAGAGTGATGAATAGATGAGTGAGAAAAATATTGGTTACCCAATGAAAAATGTAATAACCCAATTAAAATAGAAACCATGGAGTAAAAACTCAATTGCTCGAAACATTATCTGGAGCTGTGGCTGGATATTATGGACTCAGATTTGTTTAACTTGGACATAGACATTCATTCACACACACATCCGCTCACTTTCTGTACTAACACAGAAGAAGGTTTAATATGGTGACATCAAAACATAGAAATGTTGTACATATTAAATCAAGATCACTGAGCAGCAGAAGTAGACATATCTACATTAGCTAGTTCATGGTATGACATCCACTTGGTGGAAACTGGACTGGAAACTGTAGATAGTTAGCCCCCTTGCCTCAGGAAGATGGGTTGTAAAGGAAACTCAGTCATCATGCTTATAGTTGTTTTCTGCAGATCAGGGACATTGATGTCCCAGTTGTCTGAGTTGGGTTTGAATCCCGATTTGCCATTTATTTGTTCTAATGTTTGTCAGCACCATTTCTGTGCTTGTGGGTTTTACCAAAATGATAGACATCTGAGAACAGCTTCACTTTGGGCTTTCCTCCCACATTAAGCTTACAAGCCGTGACATAACTGGAAGACTGTTAAAAGCAGTGTTAAACTCAACTCACTTACTCACTCGCTCTCCCACTCTCCCGCCCTAGGTCTGATAGTTTGCAAATACAAATAAGATTGTACTCATTGCATGGACGTTTATGCCCATACTATCCTAAGGTTGGAGGGGGTAAAATATAAATTGTTTTTGAAATAATTATAAACAATTACAATCATAATCCTGCATTGTACCTGTGAATGCTTTCCTTTGCTCATGGTGAAGTCTTTTCTGGAGCAAGTTAGAGAGAACATTTTAAGATTCCATAACAGATTTCAATATTTTTTACTGGTTGGTAAGGCAGACAAAACTGAAATAACATTTCAAACATGCATTTTATTCGTGTTTGATGAAACATCTGAGAAATGCGAGGAAGTTTGTTAGTGTCGTGTTCCTAGCATACATGGGACAATGGGACTAGTGTGATAGCTTAATGGTTAAAGGGTTTGCTGGTCACACTGGAGGCCTGAGTTTGATTCCCCACACGGATAATTTCTTTTTGAAGGCCATTTCTGATGTTCCCAACTTTGATATTGATTGCTCACATGAATAAAAATAATTACATCCCAATTATTTGTTTCAGATTGAATGACCATGACCACCATTAGTGCTGTGCGATGAGCTACGTCAGCCCCAGATCTCTGAAGTTACTCGAGGATATTGTAAACGAGAGTGACAACACATCAGGCGCAGGGTATGACGACTTGGTGGAGAGCTCCCACCAGACGGCAGATCTTGACAGTAGAGTAGAAAACATGACTGAAACACAGGCTGACAATATTAATGATACCCTCAACTTCTTTGAAAAATTGGAGAGAGAAAATGGACCTGTATCCAATGGTCATGTTCTTAATGGTCATGTTGAGAATGGAATAACAGAGGATCATTCGCTGGGCATTGCAGAAGAATCAGAAGACGAGTCGTACACTGTAAATGAATTCAGTGAAACCACTGCAGACTCAACTTTTGAACATGATACTAGCTCTAGTTCACAACCTCAAAGACAGAGAGGTCGTGGAAAAAAAGTGACTCACGAAAGGGATTTTAATCAGAATTATTTATCAGCTAAAACTTCCTCTCTGCGTGAAGGGAGCACTGATAGAGACTCTGCAAGCGATAGAATCGAGACAATGAGCGACAGTGGGCGTGTAGGGAGACAGCAACGGAAGCTCAACAAACGGGCCCAGATGCGTGAGTTCCGGCCAATCGGCTTGGAGCCGTTAGAAACTGCTGAGCAGAGGCTGGAGCAGAAGTATTCTGAGTTGCAGCAGCTGGTGAGTGGGCAGTTCGTGGAACAGAAGGTTGCACTGACTCACAATCACATCCAGCAGATGGAGCTGCTTCGACAACAGTATGCTATTGCCAGCCATGGACTGCCGCCCTCTGGAGTGCTGGTGCCACGGAGCATGCCTGCCCAATACCGGAACAGCAGCTTTAACAGACGCAGGGGAGATAAAGGTGATGAGACACAAACTAGTTTCTGTTGTGTGTTTATCATTAGTTATATTTTGATGGGAACCAGTAGGGTAGCTCATCACACCAAAGACCTGGGTTCGATTCCCAACATGGGTACAATGTGTGAAGCCAATTTTTGGTGTCCCCCGTCGTGATATTGATGGAATATTGCTAAAAGCGTTGTAAAACCATGCTCACTCACTCACTCACTATTTTGACTGACTGACTGACTGACTGAGTATGGTTTTACGCCGCTTTTAGCAATATTCCAGCAATATCACGGCGGGGGACACCAGAAATGGGCTTCACACATTGTACCCACTATTTTGATGGTTGAAGTGCTTGGACAACTTTGAATTGTGTACCTGGGCTCTTTTCTCATTCTTATTTCATATTTTGTTTGATGTCATTTTGACATAAGAGGGCACTGGTGGCCCAGTCATTTAGGGTGCTGCAATTCCCTGTGCAGGGTTGCATCCCTTGGGCACACCAGGAACCTGTGCTCGTGGGTTGCACCAAAGCACCCTGAGACCTGCATCATTTTGGACTTTCCTCAAACATGAAGCTTACATGCTGTGATATAACTGGAATAGTGTTAAAAGCGGTGTGACGCCTCTCACTCACTCACTCACTCACTCACTCACTCACTCACTCACTCACTCACTCACTCACTCACTCACTCACTCACTCACTCATTACATGTCTATAAGAGAAGACATATAGAATATAAAGTTCCTGCTCTTTATTTGCAGGGGGCACGGGTGGCCCAGTCGTCTAAGGCGCCGCAATTCGCTGTGCAGAGTTGCGTCCCTTGGGCATGCTAGAAACCTAGCTATGATTGTGGGTTCGAATCCTGGTTCGCCCCTATTATGTTTCTAGGTTTGTCAGCACCATACCCGTGCTCGTGGGTTTCACCGAAGTGGTAAACGTCTGAGACCTGCATCACTTTGGGCTTTCCTCTCACATTAAGCTGACATGCCTCAATATATTACTGGAATACTGTTAAAAGCGGCGTTAAACCCAACTCACTCACTCTTTATTTGCAAGTCATCACTAACATCCGATCCTTTTTGTTATGTTATGTAATAACCTCTATGCAATGATAACAGCTGTATTTGTTTGTGTTACTTCATTATAGGAAGGTAAGTAAATCTGAATTTAGTGTGAACCTTGATTCATCATACCAGAACTGCATTACAAATTCTGTTCATTTGGTCACACTGTCAGTCATGGGAATTGTGTTTTTGTGTTACTTTTTGCAAAATTGTTTGTGAAACATGGGAAGTTTCCTTTAACATGTTTGACATGTGATCTCCTTACAGAAAACCTACAACACCCTGCCAGTGAAGACGATGCATACAACACAATAAGAACTCTTCAGACAACAAATGCAGGTCAAAGAAGGTCAAGGGCACGGAGTGCAAGGACACGACCTCTATCAGCCACAAGAATGAATCAGAATCGCTCAACATCTCGAGAACGACAACGTGAGAGGACGCCAGATAAGAGACCAAATACAGCTAATGAACAAAGTAAAGATAGAAGCAGACCAAGAAAGAAATCAAGAAGTAGGTCAAATTCTAGAAGTAGGTCTTCATCAGGATCACCAAGACAAGGTACAGACACCTTCTTGAAAAATACAGAAAACGAGTTTGTAAAAGATTGGGTCAAAAGGAAAGATCTGGAGTATCGTAGAAAAAAGGCTGAAGAAAGAAAGAGAAAAAAGCTTGAAAGAAAGGAAAAGATTGAGAAACGAATAGAAAAAGAAGAAAAATATAAAGATTCCAAACGTATTGTGCAAGAGTGGATGAGACAGAAGAAGAGAGAATCGTTTAGAAGAAAGAAAGATGACAGAACCGTTCGTAATGATGAGGCATCAAGAAGAGCATATGAGAGAGCTAAACAGGTGTCTGGTATTCATGGCCTCGGGGTGAATAGACCGATGTCTGCTCCAGCCCCTATCAGAACAGAGAGGTCCAAACTCCGAATACAGAGACCAGGCACAACAGTTGAAGAGATGCAAGAACAGATGGTACGAGAGGCAATCATTGGCTATATTGAGACGGAGGCACCTGCAGAGCTCCCCCTTAATGAAGAACCACCATCTTCACCTTTAGCTGAATCTGTCCAACCAGAATTTCCCCAACCACCTGTCACCAAATATGTGTACCGACGGCCTGTTTTAGGAAAAGTTAGATTACGTATGGGCAAAAATCAGAAGGCCCCAGAGGAGACTAAGCGAGCTCCTTCGCCTGGAAAGAGGCCTATGGTAAGGCCTCTGAGTAAGGAGGAGATTGAAAGAAACCAAAGAGTATCGTATGATGAATGGCTGCAGGTGAAGAGAAAAGAAGATGAAGAGAAGAAGAAAGAAATACACAGACAAAACGAATTAGCACAGTCAGAGCCCAAATATGAAAGGCCCATTCCAGAACTTGTTCAAAACGCAGAAGGTAATGTTTTGCAAGGTAGGGCAATTGCACAGAGGTATCCTAGAGGACGGGTTCTCAGCCAGGAAGATCAGGAAAACATACGAGAAAATGCTAGAAGAAATAAGCAAGTTCGTTCATTTGAGGAAGAAATCAACCCCACATTTGACATCAGATCTGAGTCTCCTGAACAGGCTCTGGATAGAATAGCCAAAGATATTGTTAACTATGTTTTGAAAAGCCTCAGTAGTGATGACGATGAAGTAGAGGAAGGGGAGGGTTACTTTGAGGATGAAGATGAAGGAGAACATGAGGGCTTGGCTAATCTTCATGTACAGGGATCAAAGGCACCTATGTCAACTAGAGGACGACCAATGTCAGCTTCAGCTGCTGGTATCCCTTATCCTCAGTCATCCAAGTCTCCACGTCGTCCAACCTCAGCTCAACCAAAGCCAGGCTTCACATGCGATTCATCACCAAGGGTACCTTTTCCACCAGAGGCAAGAGCGCCCATGAACCATGTTCAGAACAGCATGTTTTCGGATAGAATGTGGATTAACAGTGATGGAGGGGAGAGGCCAGAGCCTCAAGGATCTGATGAAACAGACCCAAGAGGGTTGATTGATGGACAGCATCGGTACTTTACTGCCGCGTATGATAATGATGATGATGGATCGGCTGCTTTGGATCCAAGCAGTATGACATCCAGCAAGAAACGTGTATCCTTCTGTGAAGAGACAACAGTGTTTGATGAGTCTGAGGTAGAGGAAGATCTGGATGATTGGGATAATCTAGAAGAAGACTCTGCTGACCTGCAGAAAGCTCGGAGTCTGCTTAACTTCATGGCTGACAATGCTGCTTCAGAGGGAGGTGTTGACATCACTGATGAAGTTGATGTCTGATCACGTGTGAGACATGAAACTTTCAACCAGATGCATAAATACATATCTGAGGTTACTATCCAGACACATTATTCAGCCTACTTAGATATGTTCATATGAAATAACTGTGATATTGTGCTCACAGTTGGAAGATATTGATGCCATGTGGTATCCTGGGGCCAGAAAAGTTACAACCAACAGCTTCTGGAATATGGCAGTATTGGAATTGATTGTATCATAAGCTGTTTTATACAAACTATCTACAGCACTGCAGCAGATGCAATTTTCAGATAAGCGACCAAAAACTGCTCATTGTGGAGCAAATCATTTCTGATTATGTACCAGTCAGTTAAGTTTGTTGTCATTAGGCAACTTATTGACAACAAAATCCTGAATTATATTTGTCATGGCTGAATATTTACACTGTTTAAAGAAGTGACTTTGGACTTTTCAGTTGTACAAAGTAGATGTGACCCTGATTCAATACGTGTACTTCCCAGACCACATGCATCCCTCTGTGTTGCTAATGCAGGTTGTCGTCTTGTGCTACGCTTTCTACCACCCTGCCTTAATTACATGTTGGTGTGAGCTGGCATCTGTGGAGGTATATAATTCTGTGCTGAAGCTGTCACAAACAAGTGCCATTCATGAAGTGACCTGATTAGAATCAGCAGCAACCAGTTTGTCATCAATTTGTTTGAACATCTCAATGGAGTGTAGGTCATGTTTAGATGGACTCGAGTCCAAAATGAAGGATTTGAGTACACAACCAGGGGAGATAACTCATGTCTTCTCTCTAACAGTTAGAAACAAGGAATAGAAGTGGTACAGTGTCTGGATGCCTTTTGACTTTGATGATGCTGAGAGATAAAGATAGTGTCAGTTGTGTGGCATATTACCATTGAAATTTGGTACTCGAGTCCATGTCAATTATTTTAGCCTTCACATTTTACTCAAGTGGAGTCAGAGAATACTATATGATGTCGCATCAGCAATATTACCGCCACTTGCGGCGAGTTTAGCGTAACTATGACTATGGAACCACTTCTCATAATGCTATCATTATAAGGATGTTATACACTCTGTGATACTCTGCCCAATTTGCATCCTTTATATAAGCATGAGTGTATATATATATATATATATATATTGTCAGTGAAATAGATGTAGTCTGTTTATGACCTGTTATTTTTGTTTTTGTATTGGAAAATATTCCTCAATGAATCCGTCATGACCAAGGCATAGGTCCATGGCAATGTTGCTGTATTAGGACAATTGATAGATGAACGTCTGTGATAAAGCAATTTGCTTCTTCAGTATTGGTTAGAGTGCAGCTTACAGCAAAAAATGTGTATATACAGTTACTTCCGATAAAAAGAGTTTCCAGTTGTCTCCAGCATTAACATATTCACGTATTAGCACCCTGATCTAATAAGTGCCCTGACCAATTTTTAGACCAATCAAGTGACTAATCTATATAACAGCACCCTCCTGAGACCGAAAATTTATGACAGTCCATATTTTGTCTATGTTACTATTTTTTACGTGAAAGCAGGAGTGTGCAAGGGATGTATAATTGCCCAGTAACTATTTATCCAGGTTTTAGTTTCATTGACATTTGGAACAGGTTTGTTCACGACCACTCAATCTCCGAACACAAATTTAAAACATTATATAAATGTTTTTAACAAGCGCCCCTTTGTCAATATTCTAAGCTCCCAGGGTGCTTCTTACGGCGAATACTGTAAATGCTTTTCAGATAAACTGTTTTCATATCCTATGGAACCAATAATTAAGCCATGCGTACATTTTGTGGTTAATGCAAACACATGGCATTGCTGTTGAATTGCTCAATTGAGGCCATTGCTATACTTTCCTAGGGTGTGTATAAGATCTAGTTCTCTTTAACACCAGAATGTTTGTAGATTCAGGATTCAGCAGTTGTGTGTATATAAAATGTTTCCTTGTTTATGTTTTATTCCTGCTTAGTGGAGTTTTTGTAAGTGCCTTTTTACTCATTTTGTTGAATCTTTCCTGCCATCTTTGTATTATGGGGAGCCATGTTGTCAAAGCTTGAAAGATCAGCTGTGAACTTTGTAGCATGATACATGTTATTCCACTTACTCTGGCCCTAACCAAGAAAACAGTATCAAAATAGACAACATACCTGGTAATGTTTTGGGGGGGGCTGGGGTGTTTATTTCCATCAAAGTAGGTTATAAACACATCAATTTTTGATGACATCATTTTCAGGAGAGACCATGCTCACAAATTCAAGACTAGATGTTGTGATTGGTGATTTGTGTCCAACTGAGACAGCCATTTCTGTGTAAGTTGGGTAAAGGTCACATCTAGTTTGACATATACTGTACAAAAAAGGTAAGGGATCATGAACATGTTTGGGGATATATTTCCAAAGTTGTGTGGTCAGTCTCCACTACAAACTATTCCCCCAAATATTAATGATCCTCTACCTATTTTGTTCAGTATATACATCATAACATTTGATGTGTGTGTTTTGAATGACTTGGTGGGACTGCCAATATTGGCCCAAGCCTGGTCCCCCTTTAAAGGATAATGGTTGACCTATACTGGTACCGATACTTGTTGGATGAAAGGAGAGTCTATATTATCGGTAAACGTTTCAGCGTTCACAGAAAATGACCTTTAACGATAATGGCATTTGATTGTTTTTTCAACATTGTATGTCTTTCTAGAAACTGAGGATAGTGCAATTCCAAGCTCCATTTCACATGTCTTGTCCAGCTCCTAGGCCATTAATATTGTAGATCACTGTATGGATGGGTTATATGTTCTTTGAAGTAAGGTGAAAGTGTACAGTGGGGAAATTGAAATAATGTTGAATTTGAAGAAATATAGTTTGAGATTTGCTTTATCGGTTTCTTGGTTCCACATACTGTCCTATTCTAAACTAAATTGTCAGCATGCTTCAAAACATGACACATGTACCGGTATTTGCTATTTCAGCCTTCAAGTTTCTGTGGAAATTTCAACAAAAGAATTACTATTAAGATTTTTTAAACATTGAGTGATGTTATTTAAACGACCTTTATGTGGCTTGAGAAAAAGAGAAGCTTGCTTATATTTGTGAAGCTTGATTCAAAGAAGCATTTTTGTGCAAATGAGATCTGTTCAGTCATTTGTTTTCATGTTTATTTTATTCTGATATATGATTGTAAACAAAGCATTTGAACAACTATGAAGTAGTCCGTCCATTACTGTTAATGACTATTTATTATATACAGAACTATATATATATATATTTAGACAAGGCTTTTACGTTTTTATTGCTTTAGTTATTTTAGCATTAAGTTACTGGTAGTTTTTTTACTTGGAAGTTTAAAAAGATACCCATTACATTATTATTAGTAAAATAGTGCCTTGATTTACTTTACACAACCAGAACAATGTCCCCATAAAAAAATAAGAAATTAATTCATGAAACATGTACGATATGAAAGTTTGGCTTGGATATTTTGATACTGTTGCATATAGCTGAAAGAGAAATTTTGGAAAATTAAAATCACAAAGACCTATATATACAGTTGATTTTGGCAACATTCAGAAAGAATTATTCTTGACGATCTGATAAATTTGAAAGGAGGACATTGATAAAACTGGTTTGAATTTACTTATTTTCTTAGGGTAGGGTCAGAAGTTCATATAATAGATTGTGAAATTGTCAGATGTACTTGTCACACTAAGGTTGGGCCTATTTGTACCCATCCTCGGCGATCCAGTGTATTATGTCTCCAATCTATTATGTTAACATGCATCCATTTGCCAACATAGCATTATTTTCAAAGTGACATCACCAGCTTCATTTCTCCTATCTCTGGGGGCAGTCGGGTGACCTAGTGGTTAAAGCGTCACGCCAAAGACCCGGGTTCGACGTGGGTACAATGTGTGAAGACCATTTCTGGTGTCCCCTGCCGTGATATTGCTTGAATATTGCTAAAAGTGGTGTAAAACCACCATACTCACTCACTCACTCACTCACTCATTCTCCTATCTCTGACTTAGCACAGAATTTCTGTTGCGTAGGAGCTTGAAATCAGCAACCAACCCGGTATGCTTTATTATGCATATTATCAGTTTTAGACACCTCTTCTAAACGTGAGTTGGGCATAGATCTAGTCAGATTCTGTCTCACTCCAAACAAGACCTTGCTGTGTGTAATTGACTAAAAAAAAATGCTCTGTATGATTGTTTAAGCAGGAAATGATGTCTGCATGGTTGTATTTGAGAAGGCCTGATTAAATCATGAAGAGCAATGTAATTTGATTTGACATTTACTTTTAGTGTCTTGTCATACAAACCGAAACTCAAAACAAAAAGTGGGGGCATGGGTGGCCCAGTTGTCTAAGGCTCTACGATTCGCTGTGCAGAGTTGCGTCCCTTGGGCACGCCAGAAACCTATGATTGTGGGTTCGAATCCCTGTTAGACGCAATTATGTTTCTAGGTTCGTCAGCACCATACCCGTGCTCGCGGGTTTTCATCAAAGTGGTAAACGTCCGAGACCTGCCTCACTTCGGGCTTTCCTCCCACATTAAGCTGACACGCTGTGATATAACTGGAATACTGTTAAAAGGGGTATTGAACCCAACTAACTCGCTCAAAACAAAAAGTCCAGGGTATTGATCATAATAGAATTGAGACAATCATACACTGGATTACCCAGGATCATTTGTATCATCACTGAACATGTTTGTATTTTGCGATGATGGTAATTTTTGCAGTTTGTAACATATATGTAATGATGCTTCCTGCGTATTGTCCTAAGTATCGGTTTTGTTCTTCTTCTGTTTAAACTATTTATAGTAACATGTTGAGTTGTCAGACTCAGGCATGTCTTTAACAGAGATAAATACTACTCAAAAGAGGTTAAGGAACACCAAATTTTTTCTAATGACCAAAGTTAGTCTGTCATGGCTGGTGGGTATTGCAACACACCCTTCCAATTGTGAATCTACTTTTTCTCAGTAGTATGTATACATAATTTGGTTTTGGTATTGAACAGCATAACTGAGCACTTACAAACCTAAAATGACGAAACAGTTTTGTTACGTTTTGTCAAGATGTGACTATTTCAGTTTCAACATCTGAGCCGAGTATGTGTCAGGAACGTGGTTACTATCTCTGTAGTGTGACAAGTACAGATGCATATTTATCACATAATTCTTGTTTTACACTATTGCTTCGCCAAGAGACATTATTATGTTAGAATTGTAAACATTGTTTGTCCCATCAACAAATTGTTATTTTTCTAAATTAGGAAATTAGTGCTTCTCTCAGAGGAGACAAAGTTGACATATAATAAAATATTAGATATACCTGTATGTTGTTGTCTTCCACATTACTAAGCACAGCTAAAGAATCTTGTCCAATGAGAGGTGAGATACATTGTTATTGTTGTTTAATGCATCACTCAGCAATTTTCCAGCTATATGACTGCGGTCTGTAAACAATTGAGCCTGGACCAGGCAATTCAGTGGTTGACATCATGAGCATCGATCTATGCAGTTGGGATACTATGACCTGCATGTGTGTGTATGGCTGCTTATGCCGGCATTCTGTTCTGTGCTGTGCTGTGCTGAAATACCTTGCCACAGTTTAACATGGATACCCCACTCCCATATTTTTACATCTATATCAGTGTCACATGTAAATAAGACTCATAACAGACTCCAGAAAGTAATGATTGGCACAGATGTAGCATGATGGCACACAATAAACCAGGGGTCCATTCCACAAAGCTATCGCAGCGCCAAGGTGATCGTAACTCCTATACTTTAACGTAGACTTACGACTGTCGTATTACTGTGATCGCTTTGTGGTACGGGGCCCAGGTGAACTATATCCACCCAATCCTTGTCATTCATCTGAAGCCAAGCATGGGGTATTTCTTCTTCCTAACTTCACAGCCTGAAATATATCAATGCTCTTGATATCAATCACTAGATTGTTTGGTCCTGACCCGATTATTTACAGACTGCCGTCATATAGCTGGAATATTGCTGTGTGCAGTGTAAAACAACAAACAAACAACATGAAATATATCAACACTTTGAACCTTGTTGGGACCTGATCCCAAACTTCATCATTCTTGCAACAAGCATGATGTACATTACGTCAACCATAGCATTAAATTCCGTGCTATAGAGGCCTACCGAAATGCATCTTCCCAAGACAAGTGTGTCCACTAGCCTATATCAAAGTCTAGTTTCTACCCTTGCCACAGCAAGGCCTTTTCTTGGCCCAACCCTGGCGCCACCTCGCGTAGATCACAAGTTGTGCCCCTTGTCATAAAAATGCGATATTCAATCATCGCTGTTTTTATCTCGTATAGCTTCACAAAGATGGCAACTATCATAGGCGACAACCTAGTCGATCAGATATTGTGAACATTTGCGATTTTATCCCAGACACAAAAGCACAGGCAATCGTGGGGGGAGTTTAAAAGATGACAAAGACATTCGTGTCAACAAAGACAGGTAACGGTAAATCACTTTCATACAAAGGTGTACCAGTCGTGGATGTTGATTTTGTGAAACATTCTCAGATTGGACTATTGATATGTGCCATAGTCCAATCATATTTGGCACAGGAAAGTGGGCTTGATGTGGCAAGGGTGGAAACAAGACTTTTATAAAAAGGCTAGTGGACACTCTTGCTTCGAGAAGATGCCCGAACAGATGTTGCAGGGATCTAGTCGGGGCTGGAACACACACTGAGTGTCCTCAGTGCGTGTACAGTACTTGCTTATCAGAGTGGGTGCTTTTCAACAGTATTTCAGTTATAACACAAGCTTAAATGTTGGAGGAAAGCCCCGAGTGTTGCACATTAACACTTTGGTGAAAAGCCACTGGTACTGTACACTGGTATGCATGGTGCTGACAGACCTAGAAACAATCAGGGTGAATCTCCGATTTGATGCCATGATCATAGGTTTCTGGAGTTCCCAAAGAACGCCACTCTGAACAGAGAATTGCCTTGGATGACTGGGACATTCGTGGCCCCTATATCATATAGTGCGAGCACCACACCCTTCTCAGTGTGCTGATGGACAACACTCCTAGATGCTTCAGTGGTTGATAGTATACTTTGAGCAACCATTCTTGTATTCTGATACAAACAGACCCGTGAACATCCGGGGTAGAATAGGTCTTTTTGCCGTAAAAGGCGACTATGCTTGTTGTAAAAGGCGACTAACAGATTGGGTGGTCAAGCTCGCTAACTTTGTTGATGCATGTCATCGATCCCAATTGAGTGGATCGATGTTCATGATATCAATCAATGGATTGTCTGGTCCAGACTCCATTAGTTACAGACCGCCGTCATATTGTGGAGTGTGGCGAAAAACAACAAACCAGCCAACCAATCTGATACAAACACATAAGAAGTCAACGCTGAATAACTACACAATCACTCTTTGATTTGTTTGTTGATTAACACCACACTCAGCAATATTCAAACTTCATGACAGCGGCCTGTAAATGATCACATCTGTACCAAACAAGTGGTTGATAGCATGAGCAACTATCCACATAACAGGGACTATGATGTACTCCAAGGCACCACCATATCCATCCAGTTGCCTTGTACAACAAGCTTAGGTAACTGGGGACCAATTGTAACCCGGACTCCCACTGCGGTGTCACTTCAAATCTCATAGTCTCTTTAAATCTTTTATACCGGAAATAACACATAGTACAGGGGATCTATTATGCCCTGTCATAGCATTGTTTCAATGAAGACTAAACCAACATCAACAATATCATCATTTATTATCACACATTATATGCAATATAGTTCATTCCAAATACTGTCATCTGGCGATATAGTTGTCATACATACCATAAGTAGCAATTACTATCTGACTAAATTGGATCATTTACTCCGAAACAATACCACTCTGCAAGATCTGATAACACCTAAACAGGAGGTCCCCGTCAGGTGAACTTTCTAATCTGCCAATCAGTGTCGAGGCTTCAAAATTCTCGTTACAAGTGAGCCCAACATTCAAACACATATCTGATTTCTGTATCTCAAAAAGGAACATAATCGGGGAGTTCTGAATGCAAAAACAGCGGAGCCATTATATTTTTGTGGATAATGTATGTGAGACCAATGGCATTTACATAAAAAAAACGTACTATAAAGGGTAGATTTGTGTTCTGTGGTGGTTTTCTTTGCCAAGATTGAAATTTTCGAATCGAGGATAAAAAGGAAATGAAACCAAAATTGTTTTAGAAAGCGGACATATGATAGCTGAAGAACCCATGTATCCTTAATTTAGATTCAGAGGTCAAAGTTTGATCAGGGTTCACCTGAAGCGACCTCCCATGGAGACCTTTTCATGCAGAGATATTTCTGAGTAAAAGATCTGGGTCCACTTGCACAAAGCGATCTCAGCATCACAATTATTGTACATCCTTAAGCGATTGTAGGCTAAGATCATTGTAAGCTACAATCGAAACTTACAATTGGTCCGGACCAATCTTAAGTAGCTTAGATCGTTGTAGTCCCAGAATAAACTTGACAAAATGGTGTGCAAGACTTGGTCTGTTTCAAACATAAAACCTGCTATACGTTCCATCATTGCCTCTTAATTTTGTTAAACTTTATGATTCAAATCGACACTTCAACAACATGAAGTACGCACCACAGATAAGAAATGTTGTTAAATACGATAGTTAACCACATAACTTTCAAGTCGATAGCTAAGAGTACTATTCCCACCCGACACAATGCTGAAAGAAGAGTGAAACAACATACCTTTTTGCTAAACAAGAATAAAAACCTAAGTAGTCTGCAAGCGATTTGTAACGTGGAATAGGACAATTGTATGGTGATTGTAAAGTTGATTGTAGGCGCCTAAGATCAATTGTAACTAAGATTGTTCTGTGCAAGTGGTCCCTGATCTTAATGACCTTGCATTTGAATATCATAACCCAATATAATGTATTTAAGATAGGTGAAAAATAAGTTCACACTTAATGAGTTTCATCAAACAAGTACACAATACACATTATCTTTATATTTGAAATAAGAAATATTAGTTAAATTATGTCACCATGGACACTGTGTATAAAATACAGCAACTATTCATTTTTTAAATATTGACTTTTAACCAAGCAATCCGCTCTGCATCAGTTGAACTAGAGGTAGAAATGAATTGTTCCCAAGTTACCTCCCTTGATAAGTGAAGCTGTCAAAACGCTGCTCTCCAAATGTTTTTGTGTGTGTGGTAAGTCATAGATGAAGGTTGCACTTATCTCCCCTGATCATCATAATTTAATCTGTTACATATGCACCTGAAAGCAACTACAGGTTTAATTATTTACTTGGTTAAGTGACAGTGGACATGACAGATCATCTTAAGGACATTTTCTTTCATTTTCATCTCTGATGCTGAGAAAAGTAACTGAACAAACAGACATATATTTAACATGATGCATACATTTTGCACAAATATAAGTAAAATGGCGGACAGATTGTAGACAATCATAACTTTCATGAAACACACAAGCACAGGTATGGTGCGCACATATCAAAGATTATAATCAGGGCAACTCAACCCAACACTCATCTTCTCGATCTCCAGGGCTTGCATTTTAGTAAACCTACACCAACCCCTGTATTAATTCCCATGGATCTTGCAAATCTCAAATTACCCGTCTTTGACTCCCATTTGCCAATTTGATTGGCAACGCTACTAGGTCTAATGTACCAATCAGTATGCAAGTTACTAACAAGCCTCAGTGATGGGTTGGCCAATCTCAATGATTATTATCAAGTTTGCAAGAAATTCAACATTGAAAACTGACAGACATGCAACAGAAAGCCCAAAAAGTCTTTTTGATGGAAAGGATGTCTACACGTCCATTAAAACTGGTGGTGCCTTTGGTTTCTAGTTACCTCCCTTATCCTTTCCCTTTGCTGTATGTCGACGTTTGATTGGTTGGTAAAATCTTCATGAAATCAAGGGCGGGTAATTTGTGATCGCAAGAACCACCGGAACAGACCCAGGAATTAGAGTAGTTCACAGAAATGCAAGCCCTGGAGATATAGAGGATGCCCAACACAGCGATTTGCAGCATCTTGGATGACTGGGGCCATCAGTCCCCTTGTAAATATAGAGGAACTAGGACATGATTAAATAATTCATACAAATGCAGTTATGATTTGATTGTCTCATCAATAATGATGATCAGCAATATTCTCCTTATTAATATCAGTGATAATATACCGTAATTAATTCTGAATAATTTCCCATGGGAAATCTAAAGTGAGAAAAGATTGTGACTGGTTTCTGTCGTTACTTTGTTCAATTATATCCTGTTACCATGGTTACTCTTTCTGTTTCAGTGATAAGTTAAAGGTGAAAAATCAATTGCATGAGAAATGAAACCTTTTTTTCTATGATCAGTTCTTTGCACAAATTCTAATAAAGAACAACTCAGTTTTTCACCATTCATTTAATGACACACACCATCAATCATGACCTAACCGTTTGTGCTTACCAGATTCCTCCAAGTGTAGAACAGTGGCAATTCTTTCTCATGAAGACTTATTCTTGGTTGACTTTGAGCTGCAGCATTTTTATGACATGAAGATATGGATTCTACTCCCTGTCTAGACCAAAAAGTCTATTGGCAGCAGAATCTGTACATTGCTGGGACTGCTCTTCTTTTTTTCCAGACAGCAATAGTCATGTATCTTTGTCATTTGTTTCCAATACAAAGTAACACTCCCATGAAAATATTTTGAAAATTGAAGCGTTTACCTTGAAGTAATGGAAATTGACCTTTATTTATCTATCTTCAAGAATGCCTACACATCTCTACTGTAACTGTAACCTTGTTACCGAAATTTAATTGAAACTAGTTACCATGGTTACCAGTCCCTAAAGTTTACAAAGGAAGTACTATACTTACACTTAGACTTTATGGCAAAATAGTTCATTGACAGGGCAAACTGGTTGATGATTTTTAATCTACAAAATAAAAGGAGAAATCTGGTAGCTGAGAAAACATTATTTAAAGTTTTAACAACTTCAATCTGAGTCAATATCCAACAGGTTTCTGTTACTTGCCTAACAAGAGTACCCGGTACTAGTAAGTCAGCTGAGGAAGAACTTTATGATTATGAACCTGCCAAGAGAGAAAATTAAGCTAAGCGTCAGGCTACCGTGCAGGTGCTTACTTCGAACACTGTGAGTGAATTAATGCTCCAGGTTTCACTGTCTTCTTAGTGTTTAAGAACAATGTGTCTCCCACTGTAGATACCTATATGTTACATGTCACAAAGATTGTTAGTACTACGCCAATGAACAGACAGTACTTGACCGAACTGAATAAGTACATATCCATAACAGAACATCTACATACCGGTAGACTGTGACACTGATACTGGCCTTCTACATGTAGTCTGGCTGATAAATGAAACAGTCAGTATTTTGAATATTTACTCAAAATGTGTTTGCAATCACTTCCAGTTCTGTCATGTGAGTTCACACATATACATATATTTCTCTCACTGGAAATCAAAGTTTGTCCAGAAAGCTCGCGACATGGCCACAAGGCAATCTTGGCATCTCATGGTGACTGCTGACACAGCGACTTCACACACATCAGTTTGAAGGGGATGTGACACATTGTAATATCTTGATTATTGATCAGATCGTCTTGACTAAGTGTTGCAATTTGTTTGAAGCAAAGCAAGTACATAATAGTAGTAAAAGTAGGTGGAATCTGGTTGGTCAATAGGAGGGATATAGAAGAGACATAACTCGAAATAGACACTGGTGGTGCTATGATCTTGCCCAGAATTTCCAGCCTAGTTCGGCAAGGATGGAAACTGGACTTGTTACCTCCCTTCCCTTGGGAAGATGGGATGTCAAGGAGTAATGTATTAAAAAATCCAACCAATCTAGACGTTCCTACAACAAACATCAAAAACATTATTGACTGCCAAGGGACCAGTTGTTCAGATGACCAGAAAGGTGATGAGGAATATTATTTTCATTGGCACTGATACATTACACTCGCCATCATAAGACCTTTCCCCCTTCACAAGCCATGTTTGCAATGTAGACACATCTCTGTTAAAAAGAAACATTCTACTGTATATGTGTGTACCATTGTCAGATACTGAACATGCAAATGATTGAGATTGACATTTATGATTTAATATGCAAGACACACCAGCCAGATGAATTTCAGTTCCAACATATGAACTGTAACAATTCATAACATTTATACTTCCAAAACCATTTGTTAAACAGACTTAATGGATCAGACAAGAGAACCATGAATGTGTCATCAGCATGTTCAGTGCTAAAATACTCCAAGGCTGTCATAAATGCTAGAAATATATATTCTTACCCAAAAGAAACGGATATTCCTCTCCAACAGAACTCTGAAAACGCTAGAAATTTGTATTGTTCACCAATAGAATAGGATATTCTCAACCAATAGAACTGGATATTCTTAACCGGGAGCTTAGAATATACTGTAAATCTGGAAATTAATGCGTCTCCAAATTAATACGACTGCTGACCCCTAGCCAAAAATGTGACCCAATATCAATGCGACTCCCCCCACCACATTTCCAGTGAAATTATACATATCCTTACCTTAATCCAATCAAACAGCAAATAGCACCGCTTATTAGCACTGAGTAGAGCACTTCCGTAAAAACAATAAACAGTGTTTTCCTAAAAAACAACACACAGTTTATGTTTACTCTGTTAACTGGCATTAAGGAAGTTCAAAGGCAATAAAATAATTGAACCAACAACAGTTCACTGATTGATAATGAGGAGAAAGTGTCAACAAGCTTGACACAAGTGGGTGGAACTCTTGACCCCAGCAGTGATAAGTCACTGGATGCCTATTGTGTAATTCTTATTCTTTGATTGGCATATACTTGTTACAACTGCTGCTAAATAAACTGTGTTTGTGTTTATATCTAAGTTGGTATTTCCGCTATCCAAAGTATGCAGTGAGGTCGTGAGTGAGTGAGTGAGTGAGTATGGTTTACGCCGCTTTTAGCAATATTCCAGCAATAGCACGGCGGGGGACACCAGAAATGGGCTTCACACATTGTACCCATGTCGGGAATCGAACCCGGGTCTTCGGCGTGACGAGCGAACGCTTTAACCACTAGGCTACCCGACCGCCCCGCAGTGAGGTCGTCTTATTGTTGATAGTCATTTAAAGACAAATGCAAAGTTAATTAATGCGAGCAAAGACTACTCACATTTTTCACATTTAATTCACGCTAGTGTTAATTTCAAGATTTACAGTATCACATATCACGTCAGTTGTGAAATATTATTTACAAATCAATGTATCTCCAATCCTGCAGTATGACATGTTATGCCATAAGGAAAGAATAAAGACCTATGTCAATGAGTTCAATACACCGTGGTTCATTCATGCTACACATTCTACCTGTATTATATATCATACCTAAAAATATACATAAAGGAATATATTAATTGTGATATTTTCAAAATATTTCCAGTTTTTTCACCTTTATACTGATGAAACGAAATGAGGGAACACACCAAAACATATAGGTCTCGGTAAGAACAAAATTAGCTACATCATCATCTGCTGTCACTACCTAGCAAAATCCCTTGTGATCTTCTGGGACCTTCAACAGTCAAGGTGTTATAGTAGCTGTGAATGGTGAAATCCATATCTACCACAGCAGAGGGAGTGCTAACCAACTTATAATATCACATGGTCCCCGAATGCGTAGTGCTTTACACAACAATGCAAAACTGTGAACCAAAGCTTGCTCCCCTCTTGTCTGAATAGAATCGTCCAACCTCAGCACATTGTGGGAGCGTAGTCATTACGAAGAATAATGACCCACCGAAACAAAATGGACATAACATACCCTATTGGTATAAGAGGGGTTAACAACTGTTGTTAACAACCAATAAGAGTTGTGAGTAACAAGATGGACATTGCCACAATAACAGATGTGACTTGCCTTCATATCTGTTATTTCTTCTCATATTTCTTTCCATCAGTACATTAATACAGACTACATTGTCAGTACTTCATGGGCTTGTAAACACTATGTTTCCCTATCAACTGCGATTACATACCGGTATGTCAGCTTTGCCATGTAGTCAAATCTAACCAATGAACCAAGCCAGGACCTGGTTTTTCAACGAGATTGAAGACAGCAATTGCTCTGACCACTGAGAACTCAGATTACATCACACAAACAACAATATTTCTCTGGCTACCGTCTGGCGGCTATCTACTCCACACACTGCTTCAATACCAGCAATGGCAGGGTTTGTACAAAATTCATACACACTCAGCTGTCACTTGACTTCCATGAGTTATTGAATGCCTCACTAATTTACTTGACGTAAAAGAGACGTGTTACTATGACAACGCAATGCGGTTTTATCATACCTCCATGTCAGAATGAGGAGATCTGATTGGTTCATGTGATCTTGATGAACAACTATCTATCCCGCCGGGGAGGGTAATAAATTTCTGCGTGGGAGAATAAATACCTTATACACAGCCACAAAAAAGACAGGCTGCACGTGGATTTTTAAGCAGAAGTATAAATCCCTTATACCCCGCTTCCAAGGCAAAGGCTGCAGCCTTTTTGGAGTCATAAAAGTCACTAACATAGCACAGGTTAACCTCAGCTCAGTGGAAGAACATAATTTGTATTTGTTTTAATTCTTTTACAATGGCAGATTAAAACACGGTATGGGGTATGTGTAGTTTTACGCATCCCATCTTAGGTTTTATACTGGGGGCGAGCTGGGGGGGAGTGGTATAAAACCTAACACGGAACGCATAAAAACCCCATGTACCCCGAGTGATACTGCTACAACTTCATGTATATACTCACGGGTGATGTAGAAATATAGTGTACATACAAACACATATTGATGATGTACACATTAGTGAACCTAACTTTGTCTATTCTAGTATTTACACACTCAACTGATGTACTTATGACACAGTAGGACATGTTGATATTTATCACAGTGTTCACAAATCACAAAAGCTGTACCAATCTACTAAACTGCTCGTTGATAACTTTGATTTTTCAAATACAAGTTATGATGCTTATCAAATTGAAAACAAACTACCTTTGATAACATTTTATGCAATACAGGAAGATAGATTTCAAAAGCAAATGAGATGCAGTTTTATATATTTCTACTGTAGACACAGTAGAAAGTAAAACAGTGTCTTGTTTGGATCCTGAGTATTGTCTAGGCTTAAATAACATAATAGAATAGGTTCTCAGGCAACAGCGTTTGAAATTATTGTGCGGGCGTTGTTTTTTTTCTTTTTTGGTTGTTCAAGCTAGTATGTAACCATATTATTTTTACAATAATTTCGGGGAAATCATGTTGTTCTTAAATATTGTGTGACTTAACTGCCAGGGGCATGTGTTCGAGACGGGGAATATATAAAGATTTTAATTTGTTTTTGAAAATGGAAATAAAAACGAAACGTGCAGCAGACTTTATGATAATGCGGGCAGTGCCTGAGAACCAAGACTATTATTTTTTTTAGCCCTACATAGATATGTTGGAAACTACCCATCTAACTTTTGCAACTTTCAAAGCATCAGGGTTTGGTGCAGTCACAAAAATTCAGCTTTGATATAAAAAAACACAACAATATTCAATATGTATATGCCCAAATTGTAAACACACAAAGCTGTAAAGAACTAACAAACAATAGTTTATAGTAAACTTATCTCAATATGATAATCTTTTAACTAAAATAAGTTTGTTTTTTTCCCTAAATTTTAAACTGGTCTAAGACAGAGTTCTGAACATTATTTCAGTCATGACATGATATGAGAAAAAAGCTCAAAGTGATGCAGGCTTTTTAAATGTTTACCACTTTTGTAAAATCAACAAGACATTGGCCTGACGCAACAAGGATCATATTAAGAATTTGTGATCAAACCAACAATTATTGGATCCTGGCTTAGCAAAGGGACACAACTCTGCAGATTGAACTGTGGCACTTTAGACCAATGGGCCTACCATAACTATAAGGACACAACACAATGACATGATGTAGTTCCTGAGTTCCAGCTTATAGGAACAGTATTAAGCACAAAGACTGAATAACAAAACTGTAACAATCCTCGAAAACATAAATGTATTAAAGTCTTTGAGATCCACGTTTTGGAATCACTTGTCAAAGACAGCATAGCACAGATAATATTGGCAGGGATACATGTGGTAATAGGCATATAAATGTTGTTTATCACTTCAACAAATTCACATGAACATTGAAGGCAATCACAGGGACGACATACAAGCTTCATTAATTGACTATGTTAAATCCTACTATTATTTGAACACAATGTGAAGAAACAAAAGTCAGAATTCACACAGTTTCGTCAACATTTTCTCAGATCCAAATACCACATCTCCAACCCCACACTACTCAAAGTGTAGGTGACAAAGTGTCGAGCAGTTTACCAACGTACATCTCATTGTAAACATAATACTACAAGTAGCTCAAGCTTCATCGTCATGGTAACGAGGGTCATCCTCATCTTCATCATCTTCGCCATCTGATGGTGCCGGTGTGGATGACCGAGACATGGATGGTGACGGTGGCTCAGACGCTGGTTTTGGATACAGGAAGTGTTTGCCCTGGAATCAGAAGAGGAACAAATCATTGAACTGAGCAGTTCATTGTCCATGATAACTTTCTCCAGATATATATACAACTGTATTCTTAATATCACAGCATGTCAGCTTAATGTGGAGGAAATACCTAAGAGATACAGATCTCAGATGTTTACCACTTTGATGAAACCCACAAGCACGGGAATGGTTCTGACAAAGCTAGATATTTAATCAGGGCGAACTGCGATTTGAACCCATGATTAAAATTTTCTGGTGTGCCCAATGGACGCATCTCTGCACAGTGAATTGTGTCACCTTAGAGTGCCCTCATTAAACATAAGAACAAAATTTGGTTTCAAAAGTTAAAATTTTTGATTAACTAAATCTACTGGTAACCCTGCTACACATTTAAAACACAGTATGATTCACTCTAATCTATGGTAACAGATCTTGTGTGAGTGGCATGATAAGGAAACACCAATAATACCCATTACACAAAGTTTAACGTTGATGCTCAAATATTATTTTCATAAAATCAGTATACTTTAATTGCTTATACCGGGTATATAGACACTGTGTGTAGCACGGTTACTTTGTGAGCCAACATGAAGTGGGCATCCCGTAAGAAATACAAGCAATCCTTGAAAGCTTTAGTTCTATATCATGTCACAACTATAACGTCATACCACTCACAGTGGCACTAAAGAAATGATGTCACAGACGGCAATAATAAAATTGAGATTTACTCCAATTTATGTTTCAGTATCATTTTCATTTTTCAGTGGATAAGAATTTGAACATGAGAGCTATCAAAAGCTAAGCTTACTAATAGAAAATAATTATTTTTTTTCTAATTTGTGGCTGTAAAGAGTGTAGAAGTTCTTTTAAAATTTGAACTCTTTTGTTTGTAAACCCTTACAAGCATGTATGATGGTACCTTGAATATCTGCATGAAAGCTCAGTTACATTTTAACAATAATCAACTAAACATCACTTAAACTCAACGCTGTAAACAATGCTGTAAGCTTTAGTTGAACGTGTAGAAGTTTTTTAACAAATTTTCCCAAACAAACTAGAGAATGAATTCTCAAGAAGTTGGGTAGCCTTGCTTAAAGTGCATGTCAAAGTCATGCCTTGCCACCAGCTGATTGAGTTAGTTCTTCTTCTGAAGAATTCTGCCAGAACAACAGAGGGATCTTCTGGAGCTTTACCAAACAACTTTTCATGCATGAGAGAGCAGTTGACAGATTCCCTTCATCGACCACTGGGTGGATGATGATGTAATTTGATGGATCAGATTCAACTAAAGTTTTACAGCAAGGAAAGAACAAAAGTCTGAAAATTCCAACACAATCAAACAAATCACCTTTAAACCTGGTTGCGGTCTCCTCTGCCAAAGAAGCACATAGTGATGTTACCGTAACAATGAAAGTCCAGAAAGGTATTATCTGCATCACTGACACATCCCTGCCACAATCAATGACTGAATCATAATTTCCAAGCACTGTCTCAAAATCTGTCCACTTTATAACAAGCAAAGTTTGCTTGAAGAAGATTAAAGGTGCTGGAGTTTCACCACTTGCTAGCCTCCCTCTCAGACCAAATGGTTAAAAAATAGTGACTCGCCACGTAGTCACAAGTAATGGAGGAACAGTGAGTGAGTGAGTGAGTGAGTGAGTGTGAGTGAGTGAGTGTGAGTGAGTGAGTGAGTGAGTGAGTGAGTGAGTGAGTGAGTGAGTGAGTGTGTTTTACGCCGCTTTTAGCAATATCACGGCGCGGGACACCAGAAATGGGCTTCACACATTTTTCCCATGTCAGGAATGAAACCCGGGTCTTTGGCGTGACGAGCGAATGCTTTAACCACTAGGCTACCTGACTGCCCCTTCTTGTATAAGAGAAGTATTGACGTAGTAATGGAGATGAATAGCTGAATGTTGATGTGTTGTACTCACCGAGAGACTGTCCTCCAAGCACGCATCTGGATGGGTCTGCTGCAGGGCTAGTGACCTGGCCTTCCGGTAATACTGAAACAACAAGGTCTCATGTATAGAGGAAATATTGATGTAATGATGGAGATGAATAGCTAAACGTAATACTGAAACAACATGGTACAAGCTGTTGATGTCCCTTTTCCAAAAAGACTGCCCCCAGTGGTAGAGCGTCTGCCAGCCTGTCTGTTTATCTGTATGTGTACTTACGATCCCGAGGTTTCTCCAGTCCAGCAGCTCGCTCAGTCGCTCTGTGCGGTTCCTCTGTATAATTCTCTGTCTCCGTGACAGGCACGTGAAGTCAAACATGTGCTGCAATACACGAGAAAGTAAATATGTCTAAGGCGCAAGATCAAAATGTGCATGTGACCCATGTTTTCCAAATGGCTGACACAAACATATATCACTGAATCACAACTTGGTCGATTCAAAATTTGCAAACTGGTGGTACCCGTGAGCCCAGAACCACCCATGTCAGTCTGTGGTACCCTTGAGCACACAACCATCCATGTCAGTCTGAAGTGCCCTTGAGCACACAACCACCCATGTCAGTCTGAAGTGCCCTTGAGCACACAACCATCCATGCTAGTCTGTAGTGCTCTTGAGCACACAACCACCAAAGCTAGTCTGTAGTGCTCTTGAGCACACAACCACCCATGCTAGTCTGTAGTGCTCTTGAGCACACAACCACCCATGTCAGTCTGTAGTGCCCTTGAGCACACAACCATCCATGCCAGTCTGTAGTGCTCTTGAGCACACAACCACCCATGCTAGTCTGTAGTGCTCTTGAGCAGACAACCACCCATGCTAGTCTGTAGTGCTCTTGAGCACACAACCATCCATGCTAGTCTGAAGTGCCCTTGAGCACACAACCATCCATGCCAGTCTGTAGTGCTCTTGAGCACACAACCACCCATGCTAGTCTGTAGTGCTCTTGAGCACACAACCACCCATGTCAGTCTGTAGTGCCCTTGAGCACACAACCTTCCATGCCAGTCTGTAGTGCCCTTGAGCACACAACCATCCATGCCAGTCTGTAGTGCCCTTGAGCAGACAACCTCCCATGCTAGTCTGTGGTGCCCTTGAGCACACAACCATCCATGCTTCACAACATGGAGGGAGATACCAGACCCACCTGAGCCAGCTCCTTGATAGAGTCCTCAGGGCACTTGAACCTCCTGTCTATAATGTAGATACCATAGGACTTGGGGTCTGCTATGTGTTCATTCATGAAGCAGCCGAAGCCTGACAGGTTGGTGGAGATGCTGGGGATACCCATCACTGTGCACTCCGCTGGAGAGACGAGGGAGAAGAGTCAGCAATGGCAAGGAATGATAAGAAGCATTTGATTAACTAGACCTGCTCTTTCAAGAAATGATGAAAATATTGTGTCTGGCTAACTAGATCTGCTTTTTTAAAGAAATCATTTAAAGAAGATAAAAAATCTTTCTGGCTTCACACATTGTACCCATGTCGGGAATCGAACCCGGATCTTCGGCGTGACGAGCAAACGCTTCAACCACTAGGCTACCCGACCGCCCATTTTGGCTGTTTTACACTTCAGTCAACAATAGTCAGGCAAAGTGACAGTGGTCTGCAAAATATCAAGTTTGGTTCCCACAAACTAAATGGTCCTGACAAAGTAGACACTATTATTGGATAACACCTTCTCTAGGCATACCGTTATGATTCAGCACCACAAAGTTTATAAACATGTCACAATACTGTGAAATTTTGTTGCAAAACACACCGGCGAAACAATGCCCTGTGAAGTCAGCCTAGCACACAAGGTTGGGGCAGTCATCGAGTGTGCATAAGCTCCTCTCAGTGATCTATCACCCCTACACACATTGTCATTTAATAAGCCCAGTGATGTTTAGAGTTTTTGATATTTGTTTACTGAACATAACCTGCAACGGCTCATTTTATAGCCACCACTAGTTTACAACAGCACTTTTATTTTCAACTTAAATCCTGCAGCTATAAAGATCATAAATGGGAACTAATATACATATATTAGTTTTCTGATTCAGTACTTTTCATTCTTAGACACAGAATGCAGTTTATTAGGTATATAATTTTTGACACTGCACACATCCAAACATCAATTCTGAACACTATCTACTGAGGAGGTCTGTACTTTGGCTACAGGAAACTGTCCTGGAACTACCACCCAAAACACGTTCATCTGCTACATTTGTTTACAAATGATTCAGAAGTCAACTCGGGGCAAAACGAGCTGCCTCCCTTATTCCTTACTATGATTCACATTATCCTTACAGTGTTCTCTCTTTTCTGTCACAAAATCACCGTACGAATTATTAACTACCATGTCATTCTTGCATACTTCGATGTCAGACACTGTTTTCTGTTTGCGCCATGTCATTCCTCACCATTCGATATCTTGTAGATTATGAAATGGGACGAGAGTGGCAAATGGCATCAGGATCACCTGTAAGTGTCTGTAGACTAAAATCACGAGACACGATGCCTACCCATATCCTTCGTAAGTGTTTTCGATCCTTTCAATTCAGTTTCGTAACGTCTCAGGCATAGGCTAACAATCCGAAAGTCGCGAGTTCATGTCTGACAAAATCACAAAATCCTCACAAATGTTGCTTGTCTTAGCGACATGTGACCTACAGCAGAGATTGTCCTCATGAAACGTTGTGGCGCTGTATTCTAAAGGTGCCCCCTTCCTTATTATACTGTAAATGTGACGTTTCGGTATCGATCCTTATACCGTTGTCAAACAAAACTGAATAATTAACATGGTACAAAATTATACATAGTAGGAGAAGGATTAACAGTAACAACAATTTGCATACATGAGAGAGATTAACATGAGGAGGTTAAATAGCAACAGCAGAAGGATAAAACTGAAACATCAATGTTGTTACAGTGTTATCTTTGCCCACCCATTCTACCCCGGGTCCCCACAGGGCAATAGGTAGTACATCTACCCCCTACAACTCCACCTCGGCTAAACCGCTGATGATTTGTAATGCTCATCAATTACCTGGACCCACAAGTCAGTGTTGTAGCGAGGATCTCTGTATCATGACTGGAATAAAATCCAACGACCTGATGGGCCAGTTGCCATCATGTAAAATCTATATCGCAACAATAGTAAACTTTAATAGAAGGGATGATGGCAGAATATGACTTGTACACAGCGAACTGTTAACAAGAAGTAAACAGATAATCATTTAAAAGACTAATACTGGCTGGTATGAATGATTTCCAGGGCCCTGTCTGTTTTCAGCATTGCTATGTGCAGTGAGCGGGCAGAAGGCAGAAACTGATATTCGGAATGAAGTATATGACTACCGTCGTTTATTATTTTGAGTGCCTTTTTGACAATTTGCTGCTCATAAACACCCTCTTTTGGTGTACAAGCCCCTTCAACTTGTCAAATCAGGTTATTTTTTGTCAATAGTACTGTAGTCCTTGCCAAACTACCCAATAGTTAAGGGATCATAAGGACTAGTAGAAATTTGCCTGTTACAGTGGTCCCTCACTACAATGCTACCAACGGGGTCCAAATAATTGGTGGGCGTTATAGACGATGAGCCGTTTAACCGAGGCGGAGACGCGCACTCGGCCAATGTCACTATCTTCACCTTGTCTTGCACATTGCAGTGATACAAGTTGTTTACCGTTCAAAGTGTAAAAATATATATCCATTATGTTTTCGCTGTTTGTAATTATTTACAAGCCTTAACTGTCACATTCAATGTGAAAGTAGTCTACTTACATGAAAATATCGATCGATAATGCTATGAGTGAAGAGCCAATCACAATTCATTACACAAGTACAGAGTGTTTCAGTGGCATTGATTGGTCATGTTGCTTAAAATACGGAAAACGAGAGTTTTGACCAGCACTAGAATGTATTACATGTGCGCATTCATACACATTCATACAAATATAGATACACTTTCAAGCCAGATTAATTGGTTTGATACGGTTACTTGATCCGAATCAAAAGGAATGACCGCCGTGTTGTGACGGCAACTACATGTGAGTGTCGCCTCAAATTGGATTGCCCACTAATTAAGAATATAAACTTCGCCTGTGGTTCTCTTTTATTGCATGCATGCGCTTCTAAGATCAAAGGATGTATAGTGTGAAAAGTTTACTAGTAGAACAATCATATTTCCGGGACTTGCCGCGGATGTTTTCAAACAGATTATTAGAACTCTATTCAGCATTAAACGGTTGATTATGCAATGAGAAGTGTTATGTGCAAATGAACAACGAACAACAATACAATCATGTCTGTGTAAAACTCTCAGTATTAAAAGTGTACATAATTTTTTGGAGTAATGCGTTACCGCGCGTAGAAACCGAGGTAGCGCTTTATCGAAGAGCACAATAGCGAGGGATCACTGTATAAGGGTTTTGCTATATGCTATCATTATAAGGACTAGTGGGCTATTAATGTTAGTTCCTACCACTGCAAATCCCTGTACACCCTATTAGCACCTCTCACTCCGATGTTGCCTACCTGGTGTGTATCCCCACGGCTCATAATAGGAGGCGAACACTCCTAGATGGCAACCTCTCACAAAGTCTTCATAATCCAGACCAAAAAGTGGATTAGTGGAATTAAGAAATTCTGGATGAAATATAACCTGGAACAACAAATCTCACATTAATGGAGGAAAACTTACTTTCAAAACAAACAGAGAAACAAATCTTCTCGTTCTTCAATGGCTTAAGATTTAAAATATTTTATTTATCTGGGTTATCTTCGGAGTTTCAATGGAGATGGTCAAACAACTCCCAAAACTAAAAACATTGCTACTAGCATACCTTAAGCTTAAAAAAATAAAAGAATTAGCTCTCAGGCAATGACTTGAGAATAGTGTGGGCGGTGTTTTTTGTTTGTTTTGCTTACTAAATTTGCTATGTAACCATATATACAGTTGTGTACCATCAACCTGGGAAAGAACCTCCCTACATAAAGAAGCATACAAACTCTTATTCACGCCAAGACCATAACACAAGATGCGCAGTAAAGCCATTCCCATGTAAAGGGAAGTAACTGCGTGATATATTGGATTGCATTGTTTGTTCAAGTATTAGGATTTTTGTATTTTAAAAAAAAATGGAAATAAAAACAAAACATGCTGCAGACTTTACAGTGAGTAGAATATACCATTGAAAACAAACTGCTGTTGATTAATTGACGTTTTTTTTGCATTTATGGAGGTATAAACAAAAAAACAGTATGTACAGTGATTAAATCCAGAAATGTAAAAGAAATGTTCACAATAGTTTTATGTCCATTACTCCATGAACCCCCAAACATATTGAAATCAATTCTTACAAATTCTAATGTCAACAATAAGACCTTCAGACCGCTTATGTAATCATCAACACACAAACAACTGAAGACAACAGTCTGAAATTGGTGACATCGCTCAGAGGATAACGAACACAAGTACGGCCCATTCTATTATAAGACAAGAAAACGACATTCCATTTATGGGCGTGGCCTGTTTCTTTTTCAGTTTATGGAAACATAAATGCAAATGAAACTGCTTTGTTAGCCAATCATATGTCACGGAATGACTTGCAAGAAGACATTACCTTAACCCTGTCCTCTCTCTTGTTAAACAGTTGACACCTCCGCAGTGCGTTGAGCACCTTGTCGTCATGGTCATCAACTACATTATGAGTACATATAGGGGGAAGACTGTGACGCTGAAAAACACACATGTTACACATGTAAAAAGCCACGAACAAGATCTTAAAAAATTTACAAAATTATGTACAGTAGAACACGGATATAACGAACACGGATAGAGCGAACAAACGGATACCACAAACTGTTACAAAATCCCTGATTTATCCCCTATATATTATCATATAAAATATCTGATATCAGATCCCTGACAAGCCCAAATACCACAAATTAGTGACGTGTTTAGCGAATCGAGAAATGTCACTCAGTGTCAAGTGTCACTGACAATTGGCTCTACGCAATCAGTGACGAATCAACACAATCAAACAATGTTCTAAAAATGTTATGAAATGTTATCAATTGAATGCTTTTAAGAGATCATTGTTAATACAAGTCAATGCTGCAATCATGTGTATTGGTTTTTTGTTTTATCCAAGGTGGCAGATGTTTGCAAGCGAAAACGTACATAACGAACAATGTATATAACAAACTGATTTCGCCAGTCCCTTCTAGTTTGTTATATCCAAGTTTTACTGTTACATGTTATAGAGGTCTCCAACTGTGAGAAAATGGCTATTGATAATAATCAAACTAGAAAGCCTTTAAGCATACAAGCACTAAAACCATATGGTATTTGGAATTATTTCCATGTAGATAGCAATCCTGCATTTGTATAATGTCTAGGAAAAGGGGTAGAATTCTAAGCATACCCATTTAATGATGCATTATGTTCAAGGTGTGGTGAAATGGGGCTTAACGTCGTGTTCAAGATTATTGGACTTACATAGCGATGAACATGAGACACCACATCACTCAGCCTCCCAGTCCCTGCTTTATCCCTTTAATGCCAAACGAGAGGCAGGGTAACAACAAGTACCACCTTTTAACATCTTTTGGTTTGATGTGGCCTGGGGATCGAACCACCAAACTTCCATTCTCCAGGCAAACGCTCTATCCACTGGACCCCGAAGGTGGTCTATTATGTACAATACTTACAGGTGTTGGAAAGACTCTCAGCTAGATCTCAGTCACATGAGTGAGTTGCGTCTGACACCACTTTGTACAGTACGCCCGTTTATGATGGAAGGGAAGCCAAAGTGACACATTCTCGCTATGTGAGGGAGTATGGTTTTACGCCTCACTCAGCAATATTCCAGCAATATAATGGCAAGGGACACCAGAATTGGCTTCACACGTTGTTCACATGTTGGGAATCGAACCCAGGTCTTTAGCGTGAAGAGTGAACACTTTAAGCTCAAGGCTACTCAACCTCCCCAGAGGTATCCTGGGATGTAACCCTGTGTTACTCCACTGGGCAACCTTAGTTGTATGTGTACTTGTGTTAACCTCTGAAAACCAAGCCAGTATTGACTAGAACCTACTTGTGCTGCATATATACATCTCTTGAGCTTCACCACATCATCCTGTTGCAGGAGGTCATCACCATTAGGTATACTGCCCCTGCAACATACAGATACACATCAGTACTGCCCCTGCAACATATAGACACCCATCAGTACTGCCCCTGCAACATATAGACACACATCAGTACTGCCCCTGCAACATACAGATACACATCAGTACTGCCCCTGCAACATACAGACACACATCAGTACTGCCCCTGCAACATACAGATACACATCAGTACTGCCCCTGCAACATACAGACACACATCAGTACTGCCCCTGCAACATAAAGACACACATCGGTTCTGCCCCTGCAACATACAGATACACATCAGTACTGCTCCTGCAACATACAGATACACATCAGTACTGCCCCTGCAACATACAGATACACATCAGTACTGCCCCTGCAACATATAGACACCCATCAGTACTGCCCCTGCAACATACAGACACACATCAGTACTGCCCCTGCAACATACAGATACACATCAGTACTGCCCCTGCAACATACAGACACACATCAGTACTGCCCCTGCAACATAAAGACACACATCGGTACTGTCCCTGCAACATACAGACACACATCAGTATTACCTCTGTAACATATAGACACACATCAGTACTGCCCCTGCAACATACAGACACACATCAGTATTTCCCCCACAACATACAGACACACATCAGTATTGCCTCTGTAACATACAGACACACATCGGTATTGCCTCTGTAACATACAGACACACATCAGTACTGCCCCTGCAACATACAGACACACATCAGTATTGCCTCTGCAACATACAGACACACATCAGTACTGCCCCTGCAACATACAGACACACATCAGTATTGCCTCTGCAACATACAGACACACATCAGTACTGCCACTGTAACATATTGACACACATCAGTACTGCTCCTGTAACACAGACACACATCAGTATTGCCTCTGTAACATACAGACACACATCAGTACTGCCTCTGCAACATACAGACACACATCAGTACTGCCACTGTAACATATTGACACACATCAGTACTGCTCCTGTAACACAGACACACATCATTACTGCCTCTGTAACATATAGACACACATCAGTACTGCCTCTGTAACATATAGACACACATCAGTACTGCTCCTGTAACACAGACACACATAAGTACTGCTCCTGTAACACAGACACACATCAGTATTGCCTCTGTAACATATAGACACACATCATTACTGCCTCTGTAACATATAGACACACATCAGTACTGCTCCTGTAACACAGACACACATCAGTACTCCCTCAATAACATACAGACACACATAAGTACTGCTTCTGTAACAGACACACATCAGTACTGCTTCTGTAACAGACACAAATCAGTACTGCCTCTGCAACATACAGACACACATTAGTACTGCCTCTGCAACATACAGACATATGTAAGTACTGCCTCTGTAACATATAGACACACATCAGTGCTGCTCCTGTAACACAGACACACATCAGTACTGCCTCTGCAACATACAGACACACATCAGTACTGCCTCTGTACTTCTCCTTTAAGAATAGCTTTGAGATATCGGTCCACTCAAGACAAGAGATCTCGAGATAATGGTGTCCGACTGTAAATAAACAAGTGTTTATCTCTACTGAAAAGTTTTACCACGTTTATCAATGTTTGTACCGTAAACAGATTTCGAACATCCTCTTCCCGACGGAGTTCTGTACGTGTTGCACCGTGTCCCGAAGCTGCTTGGCAATTGCCTGGCCTCGGAGAGACTCCACATTGAAGTTGTTGGTCTTGGCCGGGAGGATGAGGAATGCCACCACTGTCATGTCACTACCTGCAGCCTTAAACAGTACACAGGGCAAGATAAGCCTTACACAAACACAGGGAAAGATAAGCCTTACACAATACACTGGGCAAGATAAGCCTTACACAATACACAGGGCAAGATAAGCCCTACACAATACACAGGGCAAGATAAGCCTTACACAACACACAGGGCAAGATTAGCCTTAAACAGCACACAGGGCAAGATAAGCCTTACACAAACACAGGGCAAGATAAGCCTTACACAAACACAGGGCAAGATAAGCTTTAAACAGTACACAGGGGAAGATAAGCCTTACGCAGAACACAGGGCAATATAAGCCTTACACAGTTCAAAGGGCAAGATAAGCTTTACACAAACACAGGGCAAGATAAGCCTTAAACAGCACACAGGGCAAGATAAGCCTTACGCAGAACACAGGGCAATATAAGCCTTACACAGTACAAAGGGCAAGATAAGCTTTACACAGTACACAGGGCAAGATAAGCCTTACACAAACACAGGGCAAGATAAACCTTACGCAGAACACAGGGCAAGATTAGCCTTACACAGTTCATAGAAGGAGATAAGCCTTACACAAACACAGGGCAAGATAAGCCTTACACAACACACAGGGCAAGATAAGCCTTACACAACACACAGGGCAAGAGAAGCTTTACACAGTACACAGGGCAAGATAAGCCTTAAACAGCACACAGGGCAAGATAAGCCTTACACAGTACACATGGGGACAATAAGCCTTACACAATACACAGGGGAGGATAAGCTTTACACAATACACAGATGGACAATAAGCCTTACACAATACACAGGGGAGGATAAGCCTTGTATAAAAGTCTGACACAACACAAATATCTTATATAAATACGCTTAGCAGAATACAATCAGTTCACAGTTGGATTATATTAAAACACCATAGCATGGATAAGTCATGCAAAACTTCAGCTTCACATGTGTTTTAGTTTTAGGTGAGACGTCAAAAATGTAAATTAACATTGGACGAATGACCAGACAAACGACAAAATTTATGTTGTGGGTAATGGGCAAAAATGACAATATGGCTTCCATTAAGGCATACACCTTTGGTTTCAGACAGAGGAATGGAAGATAAACAATGCAATGAGACTTAAGTTCATTTGAGGCTTTGGTTCAGGTAAACTAAAAACTTAAACATTACACAATACCTTCAAATAGTGGTTCAATCGAGCCAGTGACTCAATAAACATATCCACCCCCTTGTTGGAGAACTCGTAACGGCCAGCAGTGAACACGTACAATGTCTTGTCCAGGTTAAAGTCGTAATGCCTGCAATAACAAACAACAAGATCAGACACACTGCCCATGTGTCGGATTCAGGGTGTTGTAAGAAGAGAGAGTCAGGTGTAATAAATACTGCCTATCTCAGCAGGATTCAGGGCCTTATATAGCAAGTGAGTTGGGTTTTACACTGCCTGTCTCACAGGATTCAAGGCCTTATATGATGAGTGAGTGGGGTGTAACACTGCCTGTCTCACAGGATTCAAGGCCTTATATAATGAGTGAGTGGGGTGTAACACTGCCTGTCTCACTGGATTCAAGGCCTTATATAATGAGTGAGTGGGGTGTAACACTGCCTTTCTCACAGGATTCAAGACCTTATATAGTGAGTGAGTGGGGTGTAACACTGCCTGTCTCACAGGATTCAAGGCCTTATATGATGAGTGAGTGGGGTGTAACACTGCCTGTCTCACAGGATTCAAGACCTTATATAATGAGTGAGTGGGGTGTAACACTGCCTGTCTCACAGGATTCAAGGCCTTATATAATGAGTGAGTGGGGTGTAACACTGCCTGTCTCACAGGATTCAAGGCCTTATATAATGAGTGAGTGGGGTGTTACACTGCCTGTCTCACAGGATTCAAGGCCTTATATAGTGAATGAGTGGGGTGTAACACTGCCTGTCTCACTGGATTCAAGGCCTTATATAATGAGTGAGTGGGGTGTAACACTGCCTTTCTCACAGGATTCAAGGCCTTATATAATGAGTGAGTGGGGTGTTACACTGCCTGTCTCACAGGATTCAAGGCCTTATATAGTGAATGAGTGGGGTGTAACACTGCCTGTCTCACAGGATTCAAGACCTTGTATAGTGAGTGAGTGGGGTGTAACACTGCCTTTCTCACAGGATTCAAGGCCTTATATAGTGAGTGAGTGGGGTGTAACACTGCCTGTCTCACAGGATTCAAGACCTTATATAATGAGTGAGTGGGGTGTAACACTGCCGGTCTCACAGGATTCAAGACCTTATATAGTGAGTGAGTGGGGTGTAACACTGCCTGTCTCACAGGATTCAAGGCTTATATAATGAGTGAGTCAGGTTTAACACTGCCTTTCTCACAGGATTCAAGACCTTATATAGTGAGTGAGTGGGGGTGTAACACTGCCAATACAAAACAAACAAACAAACAAACATAGTATCACGATCTGATAAATATGTATGTGAGGTCGCCTAGAAGGAACTACTTTCAGCTTCATACATCGCTGCAATGTCTTCTATGTCAAACAAAAAAGGCCAGCTTACCCATAAAAGTGACCGCGAACAAACTCGTGGAGTTTCTCCTTGTATACAGCATGTAGATTCTGAAACTCATGGATAGCGCTGAACTTGATCACATTCAACCCATTGGGAGTGATCACATCTGGAAATAGAATGAAACATTATATATCAAATGACAGTGCTGTCAACGTTTTGTAGCCTTGAATAACAGCTTGTGTCGAGATTGTTTGTTTGTTTGTTTGTTGTTTAACTCCGCACTCAACAATATTCCAGCTATACAATGGCAGTCTGTAAATAATCGAGTCTGGACCAGGCAATCCAGTGATTGATATCATGAGTATCGATCCATGCAATTGGAATACGATGACATGCATCAACCAAGTCAGCGAGTCTGACCATCCGATTCTGTTAGTCGCCTCTTATGACAAGCATGGATTGCTGAAGACCAGTACTACCCTGGATCTTCACAGGTTGTGTCAAAGATTGAGCTACAGGTGGTCATGATAATTATGATGAGTATCAGATTTCTTATAGATACCTTTAGTAGGACTATTGGGAATTGTAAACCAATGTGAGTGTTTACCGTTGGATCATAGGTTCATTTGACATCATATGTGTTTGGACGGCCATGTTTATCGCGATTACTCTTGCTAAAAATAAGGGGTGTGACATCACACAGACATATCAAATACTCAACTGATGAATGAGTGAGACGTTTTACAGTTGTTCTTGTGATTAACAAGAAAATTACAAATGTTTCTAAGTGTCTGAGAACCCATGACACGGCAATACTTCTATCTCATTGGTCAAGTGATATTTTGTCTGTATAGTAAGCTTACCTCATGACCGTCCATATGTAAAGAGCAAAAGGAAGAAGGATAAGACTTTGAGAAATACAATGACCACCTTAAATAATCAAGACAAACTGGTGGATGATGCCACGAGCAGTGATCCACTGTTATGTATGACAAATGAGAAAGGTCAAGCTGACACCCGATCCCCAAACTGGTCAACCTTTATGACAAGCAGGTATTTTGGAGACCTCGTCTGACCCATCATTCATCACACGGGCTGACTCCAAGACAAGAATCTATCTGCACCTGGTTTGCGTGTAAGTAGATGTTCCGCCTCTACGCCAGTGATGTCGGACACAGTGGTGAAGACGTGAGCGCAGTGTACGGCTGCCCGCTCCATACAGTACCGGTGATAGATCTGCCGGTCTCCGGCCTCCCTATCTAGGTTGAACTATGGAACAAAAACATTAACCTGAAGATGTCTTTACATACCAGACACAACAGTCCTTCTCAGTTGATACACAGTTTCATCTAGAACAGGTAAGTTTTTGACAGGCATTTAGAAATGATACACAAAAGGAAGAGAATTTATGGATGTCAACTTATATTAAAGAAGTTAGCATCAATATATTCTCTTCCTTAGGTAAGTTTTGTTAATTTGTTATTGAAACCTCAGTGACTGTGCAACATGATGTTTGCTTGTTAGTTTGTTTGTTTGTTTAACGCCACACTCAGCAATATCCCAGCTCTATGACGGCAGCCTGTAAATAATCAAGTCTGGACAAGACAATCAAGTGATTGATGTCATGAGCACGCTGTTGGGCTCTGATGACACACAACCATCCAAGTCACCAAGTCTGACCATCCAAACTACAAACATTTGACTTGTAATCTGAGTGAATGTACCTCAAGCGTAAGCTAATGCAGTGGTAATATCTCACACTATCAAGATTATTGTAGAAGTCCAGTTTTCCTGCACACAGATATCGGCCCAGGAGGGTGGCGTGAGTTGTGAAGATGGTGCTGACATCTAGTTTCCTGGTGCGGGTGTAGAGGAGGCCCACTCCAGCCAGCCACTCGTGGAAGTGGCAGATGACCAGGGGCTCACCGGACAGGCGGTTGCGGAACTGGGAAAGATAATATGGAGATATTGTATGTGTTGTGCATCGATGTTGGACTCAGTGAGAGAGTGTGGTTTTAAGACTGTCGGCAATATTTCAGTGATGTGGACATGGCAGTTGGGCACCAAGAATAATACCTTTTGGGAATCCAAGCTGAACCTTTGGCAAGACAAGCAAACACTTCAACCACAAGGCTACCCTGGGTATTGGTTGGGATGTTATCATCATTAATTTGTGACAGTCCACCAATTCCACAAATCAGTCAATGATCATCATTGTTCATAACCATTAGTGTATTACAAGTATTACAGATGTTAAAAGTACCTGCTTTTGTCATGACTGTATGTGAGTGAATGAATGCTGTTTAACACCACAGTCAGCAGTATTTTAGCCATATCATGTTGACCTTCAAATAATCAAGTCTGGGTCTGAGAAAACCAGTGGTTGACATTATGAGTAACAACCCAAGCAGTAAGGCACAAATGACATGCAATCAAGCAAGTCACTAAGCCTGACCACTTGATCCATTTTAGTGGCCTCTTACAACAAGCAAAGGTTGCTCGGTCACACTTTTGCCCTACAATAACCTTTGTTGAATTGACAAACGTGTGTCTAGGCCTAACATACCTCTTCTAGGAACCAGCATACCAGTGCACCAAATATTACAGCATCATTTGCCTCACGATCATGCCATGGTATGCCGATGTTGGACTTCTCCCACAACTCGTGTTTAAACTCATCCAGCTTCCAGGCTGCAGAGCCGATGTCGAACAGGATCACTTTAGGATATCCATCAATCAGCCAACGACCAAAGAAAACCTGAGACAAAACACACATTTAAACAATCAGCTATTTTTTTTTATCATGAGCTGGAGATTTGCCATCAGAAACATCTTTCCTGCCATTTCACAATAGTGGACCCTAAGAATGTTCTTCACACATTGTACCCACGTAGCAGACAGGTATGTAGACAGTGGACTCAGTATAAACTAGCATCTGAGTGGTCTGGCAATCTCTATACACCAGCATTTATTTCAGGTCCGACAAAAACTTAATTTTAATATAAATCATCTGTCTGTTTCGGATACTGGCACTGTTTGTATCTTTGTTTGTTGTTTAACGCCTCACTCATCAATATTCCAGCTGTATGACAGCGGTCTGTAATATTCGAGGCTTGACCAGACAATCCAGTGACTGACATCATAAGCATGAATATACGGTACACAATTGGGACACGCATCAACCAAGTCAGTGAGCTTGACCACCCGATCCTGTTAGTCGCCTCTTATGACAAGCATAGCCACCTTTTATGGCAAGCATGGGTTGCTGAAGGCCTATTGTACCCCAGATCTTCACGGGTCCAGAAAGTACGGTGAACATGGACATTGGTCGCATACTGAAATACGAGTAAACACGACACAGATACTGGATACTGGAACTGAGTATGAGGCCAAGTCACTGATTTCCTACTTTATGCTGGCATTGTTTTCTGAAAAGATGAGTGCCGGTTTAAGGGGATTACTGTAACAATAGCTCTTGACAAACTTCTGAACATGGATTAGCGTATGTGCAACGTTTGTGTTTATCTAGCAAATCAATTAACATTGTTCATAAGGAAAATTAGTTTATTGGTCAGATGTGTCAGTCTATAACAATCTACAATGGACATGTCATGTCTTGACAGATAAAGTGTAGTACTTGGAAAGAATTGGGTGTGCTTTAACTTCATTTGAGTAGTATATATTTATATAACCATAATCATAACAGCATAAGCAATTGCACAAGCTGCAGATTCAGGAAATTAAAGTGCAAGTATGTCCATTGACTGGTTGAGAATGTTTGTCAAGAAAAATGAATAAAAAAAAAACAGGTTATGTGGACAAATACAGGAACACGTCAGTTTACTGCAGACCATATGGATTCCAACAAAATTGAAGCTACTCATCCGACTGGAGATCTACCAGGGCCAGGCCTACAGTTATTTCGAAAGTACTCCCTCCTTGTGTAAGGCAATTAGCACTGACATTGAAGGCTTCTATAGGGGGACACGTTATATGCAAGGTCCTTGTAAACATAGCAATACTCACCTTAATACCTGCATCCCGCATTGCTTGTATGCTCTCCTTAAACACAGAATTGTGTGGCTCTAGAATCTCCACTTCAGTTCGGACACAGGACTCGTTGTACGGCCCCATCAGACAGTACTGTTCTCCCAGCTCCTCAACCGTCGTGGGGGCCTTAGTTTTGATCACAGTGTAGATTCCACCCACTGAAACAACATGGCAACATGTCTAAAATAAAGCAGTTAAATCAAGAACATTGATTGGTTGTTGGTTGGTTTGTTGTTTAAAGCTGCACTCAGCAATATTCCTGCTATATGACAGTGGTCTGTAAATAATTGAGTCAATCCAGTGATTAATATCATGAGCATCGATCCACGCAATTGGGATCGATGACATGCATCAACCAAGTCAGCGAGCCTGACCACCCGATCCTGTTAGTCCCCTCTTACAACAAGCATAGTCGTCTTTTACGGCAAGCATGGGTTGCTGAAGACCTATTCTACCCCGGATCTTCACAGGTCTCAAGAACATTGAGGATTTCTGATAAGAATACAGCTACCCAGCCGCCTATGCTTGTCATGAGAGGCACTCGTTTGATTGCGTGTTATTGTATCTTAACAATCTGTGTCTGTCATAAGAGGTGACTAACGGAATCAGGGGGTCAGGTTCACTGACTTAGTTCATGTATCTCATTGTATCCCAATTGCGTAGATTGATGATCATGATGGTAATCACTGGATTGTCTGGTCCAAACTTGAATATTTATAGACAATCATCAATTCATACAGACGGAATATACCTAAGTATGGTGTCATACTACAAACACTCACATTGGCATGTGTTTATGGTGTAAATAATCAATTGCAAATAAGGCTAAAAAGATCAATAGTCTTGGTTCTCAGCCACCGCCTGCATCGTCATAAAGTCTGCCGCACGTTTCGTTTTTATTTTATATTATAAAAATTTAAAAATTCCTAATACTTAAAAACTATGCAATTCAATATAGCACACAGTTACTACCCTTGACATGCGCACTGCTTCACTGCACATCACGTGTTATGGTCATGGCAGCAATAGGAGCTTGTATGCTTGTTTATGTAGCGAGACCCTTTCCCAGGTTGATGGTACACAACGGATTATTTATTTTTTTAAGCCTAACCCAGTAATTGATATTATGTGTAAAGATCCACACTGTCGGGGCATGTTGACACATCACCAACCAAGTCACAGAGTCCGACCTGTTATATTTAGCTCCCTACTGACTCATACCTATCAGTGAAAGTTACCACAAAATAAGCTGTTTTTCTTTTTGCCTTTGCCAATTTTCAAGAATTTTTATCATTGTGTATTGTTCATCTCAAGCAATCATTTCTATTAAACGTGTAATATATATGATTAAAAACAAAACAAAATTAGGGATGATCTAAAAGCCTTGATTTTTGGATCCTGATTCACAATAATGGACACAAAAAGTTCTTATCATCTCTAATGTAGAGATATTTTACCATTGAATTCAATGCAATGATATAAAATTTAATAAATTTCTATATTTACATGACATTGGACCCCTAACATAGGATATTGAGTGTAACAATTTACACACATATGACAAACAAGCCATGTCGGTTGTGGATATTCACTTAATTGGGGTTACGTTCCTGTTTGAAAGGGTAATTTGTGCAACTACTTTCTTCTTCGTGGAGGTGTAATTCAAGTAGAAATTGTCACATAAACCAATGTATTCTAATGTACCACAAGTTGGACTTGAAAATCTTGTACTTTAAATAACGGTTCTCATTGGTAGAGAAATGGACATTAATTAGCTATGGGGATGGGTATTTGAGGTTTAAAGTGTATCAATATATTGCAATGCACATTATTATTGCGATACATATCATTATATTCTAAATTTTTAATTCAGAAGCAATCTGATACGTTAAGGTATGAATTGAAGTTCATAAATGGAACAAAACAAGATGTTGGTACAACATAATGTTTACTCAGTAAGTAAATACACAGCCATCTTGGGGCCCCGGATGATTGGTCGGGGGCAGCGAAGGCATTGGGCAAGTATACAACATTAAACACATCATAAAATTCACTTTATGGGATTGCCAGATATATCAAGCATGAAAAAATGATATTGGTATACGTATCGTAGAAAGAATGAACCTTGATTTACCGATATACCAATAATACCACACACCCCTAATTAACAACATTAGTTTTACCTGTAGATATAATGCATGTATATACAAATAGTAAATATTTAATTCCACTGTAAATTGGGAACTATTACCAACATTTTCTGTATACCTGGGCTCAATTATTGGCCTCTGAGACTGCTTCGATTAACCCCTGCAGTACACTACCAAGGTTACTTATTGTTCTGCATATATATATATAGGGCAGCACCTGTGACAATATGTAGGTCAGTCTCTGGGGAGGTAGGGGAGGAGAATAACATTGAGGTCAAACAGGCTATACCCATATCAGGTGTAGGCCGAGTGATAGGTGAGGTGAGGTGAAATGGGGTTTAACGTCACGTCCAAGATTATTGCACTAAGGTGACTTATATAGCGACGTGCATGCACGTGTGAGTGTGGCTGCTTGTACTAGTCCGGACTGATGCCGATTTATAGTGCGGGCTCACTGAGATACCATGCTGCAGTTTAACATGAATACCCGACTCAGACACAGTATACTGACTCTGAGCCGACCACTCCTTGTTGTAGCCCCTAATGCCGAGCGCCAGACAGGGTAACAACAAGTACCATCTTTTAACGTCATACATGTTATATAAAAAATAAAACCATTCTTAAGGTTTTCGTGATCTTAACTTAACTATCGCTGTTAGTATAGTAAGTGTGGAAATATCTATTTGACAGAAGTCACTGACAAAAATTAAGACAGTAGATTGTGAAATTCGGTTACATCTACACTACACTATCATTTACTATGACATCATACATCATCATCATCATAGTGCTGGGTCTTCCTCATCTTCCTGAGACAAGTCTGAGCTTAGTCCATTCCAAATCGCGTAACAAAATCAACATCCGTTTCGTACACTGTAAATTCCAGGTTTTGCAAAGCATGTGTACCATCATATTTTCAAATGTTTCATGTTTTTAATCAAGGTGGTCACATGATCTGATACACTTCGGGAAGTAAGACCCTTTTTAATACATTATAGATCTAGATTATCTATCATATCATCTTGACTGAGCGTCGCCATATTGTTGGAACCAAATGCAAGTGATATGAGAAGTGGACGCTGACTGGTCAACAGGAGGAACATAGTCTATTAGAAAGGACATAACTCATAATAGCCACTGGTGGCGCGACATTCGAGCCCACAAATACCAGTCTAGTTCAGCAAGTGTGGAAACTTGACTTTTTGATACCATCATGCTCACAGCAGTAGTGTACATTGGCATGATGACAACTCAAGTTGCACATGTCTCTTAAGTTTCTCTATGAAGATCATTTGAACAAAGTGATTTAACGTCTCATATTAAAGTGATATAAGTACTGTGATGAAAATAATCACTTTGAGTGTAAGAAAGCAATAATAAAAATATAATCATGTCATTTACATTTTACTCTGTAGATTACCCTAGGTGCATACTTTGATTCTTGTGTTTATACCCAGAGTAATTAGAGAAATTCTACCTGATCTACTGGCTAGCGACGAGTTATCACCAACATCCCATCATAGCGCACACATGATTGCAATGTGTTTTACTTTTGCTTGTCTTAATTATAAGGGAGAAATATTAACATTATAAACCAAATCCATCATCATGTACATACTTAGTTCAGTTATTACTTACAATTTGTCTGTCATTTCTCCCTGAAAATACAATTTACAACCTCATTTACCACTTTTTTCAAACATGCATAACCTGAATATGTCACAAAATCCATACTAAATGGTGTTATTTATAAACATGTGTGGATTGATTTTGGTGAATATTGGTTTAAGATGACACTTTGATTAAAAACCATATCTTTTTTATTATAATGGATTTTATTATATGAGTGAGTGAGTGAGTGAGTGATTGAGTACGGTTTTACGCCGCTTTTAGCAATATTCCAGCAATATCAAGGCGGGAGACACCAGAAATGGGCTTCACACATTGTACCCATGTCGGGAATCGAACCCGGGTCTTTGGCATGACGAGCGAATGCTTTAACTACTAACCCAACCGCTCCGGATATAATATACGAATGTAATAGTAGAAATTATATAAAATGTAACTTGTTTAACTGAAACGGTGACTGTGATCATGTGGCGCACACTGTAAGACGACGTAAATCAACATGCATGTTCTATTTCCCACACAGGATATTTCAGCTAAATTCATGCATATTTATGGACCAACAGAAATCGACTCAAATGTTTTTCCCAGGCCGATTTGAGTGCATTTGCTTATTGTTTCACAAAGGTCCGATGAGGTGGTCAGATTCAATGAGGTGTAGGCCTAATCATGGTATTTCAATTCTCTTTCGAGCTTCCAGACATTTTAATGAAACATTAACAGTATGTCAAAGTGGCTCCAATGCAAAATGTATGGTGAAGATTATTCTAATTAAAAAATGAGGAAATTTGATTATAATTGAAATATTAGTGCCTATTTATATATAGGCCTATAGTCCTACATTCCTATTCATGACATGCCAGTTGTACCATTCATCGGATAAAACATTTACGTTTTGTTAACAAGATAGTCTTATGCATGACTGGGTTCGTGACATGGTCTATTTTTCACAACTTCAATATGGGTCACTTACGGTGACACGGTCATACTGTATAGGTAGGCTCCCTACATTGAACCGACGGGTCTGATAATATATATAAGCGCACGTAACTCAGGCAGTGACCATGTTTCGTACGTGTCCTCAATGTGCACTATCTTTTACCTTTGTTCGCAACTTCCCAGGCAATTTCAAATACCCATTTGTTCTGTGCAGCTGCAGATATTCCTCTGTCCATTGTGACATTGTCGTATTCAGGTTCAACATTTTTCAGTGTCCGAAAGAAACTACCCCTTCTTCTCAGCGCCATGTTTCGATAGAGGTCGTTGTGTCAAGGACATTTGAGGTGAAGGTCGGCAAAAGGGGAATTCCCACACACGCAGTCGATGCCTTCGTCCAGTCATACACAAGATCAAGCAGCGTTGGCTTCGTGACTACCCTGATGAAAGTACGTGCACAGCTGACTGTACATCTCACGGGAATGCAAATTGCACGTGCTTTTCATGCAAAATGTGTGTGCCTGTATATCTACTGCTCAAGAAAAGAATTGCACGTCATTGTACGACATGGCATTTGTGTACCCATTCGATCTTATTTGGATAGTACACGTATTATGTCATAGGAGTTCGATAGCAATTTGTTATGATAACCTTAATCTATAAGAGATAAGAGACTCGTCAATTAATGGTTATTTCAAGTTGAGAAGCAACTTTTTCAGATACTGACATGTATTGTCGAATTATCTTTGACTTTGTGTGAATTAATTATAATCTATATCACAAACAAATTAAATCTGTATGTCTAAATTACGTAACATTACTTTATACTTTCAAAACTAAATCTGAATGGCAGACATGACTATAAGTAGTATTTTAATTGTAAGTTTCCACAATGATTTGGCATAAATAAGAACTGTGATACTTTTATGTTTATGGTCGATACATTTTTAGGCATTGCGTTATTGATTTGAATTAATTGAGGGAAAAGATGAAAAAAAGCGTTGTCAGGGCGATTGTCCAGGGATACATTTCTTGAAGATGTATCGATCTTCAGTACTACACGGGCCTTTAAACATCGCGTTCCTCCATGGAAACTTTTTTATTATTCATTTGTTTGCCCGTAAAGTATTACATCTCATATAGAAATGGCCAGACCCTTAATTTCCCCCTTTTTAATATTTATACGGAATCTGTAATGACCACTGCGGTCACACCGGAAAAAACCTTGTCAACTATACATGGACGAGTGATTCACGAAGTGAGATACGACTGTCCTCTCGTTAAATGTCTATTTCAGAAAGAAGTTTCTGTGGTCAAATGGCAAATTGACCTATCTGGAGTAGAATACCACTCTTTAGACATTTAGTCCCAGAAATAAAGTTATCTTACGTACAAATATTATGAATATATATCTTTAAAATAAAAATAATAAAATCCAAATGGAGCCTAGAACAATCTGAGGCAATCTAGACTTGCAAAATCATTCTCGTTTTGAGTTGGGACTCCTTTTTAAATTTTTTCTCAAGGGGCTGGGGAACGGACAAACCACTCGTGGTAGCAACAGTGCACTGACCACTGTTATTTCTGCTTACTATGACACCAAGAATATTTCTGGGATCACCTCTGCCATGCTCTACCAGGATCTCCCAAATTATGGGAACAGCAACGTACGTTGTCTCCTGGTTGACGAAGTAGTCTCTCGTCCAAGAACGGTTTCCACGTATGTGCAACGATTTGTGTAAATGAAGCGTTCGTAAAAGTACACGTGCCTTTGGTCTTGCAGAATGTTCGTTTCTTCATAATCATGTTTATGAAACGTAAGTGCAACACTATGTATTTATCACGTTAGGTCTCATACAACCAGTTTGTTTGTTTGTTGTCGTGCTGTACTCAGCAATATTCCAGCTATATGGCAGCCAATCTCATAAAAATCAGATCTTATAGTTCTCGTTACCGCTAAACAAAGTTTGTTTAGCGGTAGCGAGTACAAAAATCTGATTTTAATGAGATTGTATGACAGCCGCCTGTAAATACTAATAATCCTGTCTGGCGATGAATGAGTCGGCGGCCGGAGGTATTTTATTCCTCATCCCATCTTGCAGAATATTGTGCGTATATTCGTTTGTTTGTTTGTTGTTTAAGGTCGCACTCAGCATTATTCCAGCTATATAATGGCGGTCTGTAAATAATTGAGTCTGGACCAGACAATCCAGTGATTGACATCATGAGCATCGACCCACACAATTGGGATATGATGACATGCATCAACCAGTTCAGCGAGCCTGACCACCCGATCCCGTTAGTCACCTTTTACGACAAGCATCGTCGCCTTTTGCGGCAAGCATGGGTTGCTGAAGACCTATTCTACCCCTAATCTTCAGGGGTCGTGCGAATATTCAGTCTTACAAGCGAGGAAATACAAACAAATAGTGAATATGAATAGATTTCATCTATACTGATTATATATTTTTCGGATATTAAATTAGGTCTAACTTCCACGATCAAAAGCTAACGGAATAGTACAGCTTTGTATATTTTAAGTGAATGAATATGCAGGATTTTAGCGCCGCTTTAAACAGCATTTCGGGCGTGACGAGTATAATGTCCAGGACACTCCTTGGTCTGTTGACAAATGATATGATGATTGATGGAGTGACACGAAGACTATATTGATCTTCAACGAAAGTAGACAGGGCGCCGCCACTGATACCCCCACGCACATGGTCACACGCCCCGGCGCAGTGGTAATCTGGCATAACACCCACTGCCACAGGCTAATTTGCATATCACGTGGCTGGACTTTTCTTTTGTTTGTAAACAAACGCTCTTTTTCAGAACAGAGCGGACTAATGCAAGTATTTGGGGTAGCTTTTCATATTGTTTTGCATAATTTTATATGCTACTACAAGTGGGTTGCATGACATTTTATATATATACACATCAAAGTGACCGTATCGCTAGCTCTCCGATGACAGCACGTGGAGCCGAACAACCAATGTAAACATAGGATAACTACGCAAATGGAAATAGTTTTATAGGATATAGGATCTTTTCTCAATAAAAGTTAACCATTCTATGACATGTATATCTAGATTTGTAGACTTGTCAAAAAGGAAACAGACGAAACAATATGCCAAATCTTGAATGGACTGTGTAAGATGTGACGAATCGTCACATGGCGCTGGCCTGTGGCAGAGGTACTATGCTGGTCGCATGGAACTCCGGGTAGGAGAGTGACAGGGTCAGTATCCTAAACGAGACTCTGACATCTGACCCGTGCATCATGCATACAATAATAGACCTTAATTGCATGTACTCTTCAACGAGAGAACACGACCCTCACAACGAGGATCCCACACGACCCTACCTGGGAATCGTTACTCAAAAACTTTCCATGTATACCACGAATTCATTCACTCAGTTTTATTGCCATCAATTAAACTACAAGGGGTAAGTCTGGTCCAGAGGTCAAGGCGCCGCACTTCGCTGTGAAATGGCCGTAGGTTGGAATCCCTGTCTGCACTGACCCCTCTTTGCGGTTGGTTCGTCCCTACATTTAACTTCCGATGTGCTGTCAAATGGTTTGTCATTGAGTTCAACCACAGTAACGTGTTCGTTACCAGTATGTTTCGGGAAAAAAATAATTTAAAAAATCTCAGAGAATACACGAAAGGACATGTTTATTAAGCAAATCCTTGAAACAAAATCTTATGTTTCATGGCAAACAAAGAAGCACACATGAAATTCAGAAAAAATGAGATAAGAATTGTATGGAAAGTTAAAGATCAGATTTACTTAACTACGTAGAAATATTTGTTACTACAATGGTAGCAACAGCCCGACCATGTCTATTTAACCTTCCGCCAACCGACTACTTTGTAAATAACCCCAGCAGTGGCCACGAGTATGACAGTAGCAACTATTGCCCCGACGACGATTGTCATAACCGATGACATCTGTCCCTCGCCTGTCATCAGACTTAGCGCTATCTGCAACAAACAATATGATGACTGCATGTATGGTCTACAGGTTCCAGGTTACCAAAGGAAATTGTTCGAAGCGCCCATGAAATCTCTATTTAGCGAATTCGAGCTCAAAGAAAGACAATTCCAGCAAGCCTAAAATGTTATGGTGATGTTACCATACTTATTACAGTATCTTTACCAGGCCTGCCAATAACAATATCTAAGATGTGTCAGTGAATGTATAAATATATATTATTTGTCGAATTTGCGATACAATAGCGGAAGTATACATTGAATTCGCACAAGAAAGTACTTGATGTGTCCGTATTGAGACGTCCACACACTCTCATAAACGACGACCAAACACTCGAAAAAACGACGACGTTTTTCGACGCCTGCAGAGAGCTTGATCTTTTCACATGGACGCAGGTTGTTAGTAAAGTGAGATAACTGTGAATATATGGAGTGTGTGGCAGGGGGGAGAGGGGGTGGGGTGGAGGTACGTGGTGTGTGTTGGAAAACCCCTGTACCGCCCTATCCCCCCTATCAGTAAGCTACACATCCTTCTTGAGACCCTTGAAGATCCGGAGTAGAATAGGTCTTCAGCAACCCATGCTCACCGTAAAAGGCGAGTATGCTTGTCGTAAGAGCCGACTAACGGGATCGGGTGGTCAGGCTCGCTGACTTGGTTGATGCATGTCATCGTTTCCCAATTGCGTGGATCGATGCTCATGATGTTAATCACTGGACCGTCTGGTCCAGACTCGATTATTTACAGACCGCCGTCATATAGCTGGAATATTGCTGAGTGCGACATTAAACCACAAACAAACAAAACATATCCTTCTTGAACAAGTGCATGCCATTTGCCTCAGTGTACGGGTCTCTCACTAGCAGAGTGGACTGGATGCTGGTGTATGAGATTTGCTCTGCCTCTTCTTGACTTCCGGTATCTCGCTTCTTCCTTCCATGAACGACGGGAACATCCCCAGGGAGTCCACCGGAAGTTTGCGAAAATAGATCAACAAAGGAACACATGCACTTTGCTTTCACGTATACAATTACATTAAACAAGAAGTTGGAATGTTAATACATTTTCGCCTGTTCCATATGTCGTTTCAGGTGAACAAGTGGCTTGCCTTTGAAAGTGTTTGTGATGGGTGCCACCGGCGAGGCAGGCTACGTTCACCTTTTCGCGAAGACCTGTTATTATCATTATTTGATAGTGATTCTTGGACATTGGCTTTTAGCAGTGATTTCTTATGAATATGCAAAGGCTTTCTCGCTTTTATTTACATAAGTGCTGGCATATTAAAATATTTTTTTAAATGCAGAGATCGAAATAGATCAAACTGGCA